ACTCTTTCCTCCTTGCTTTCTTCTCCCTCTACTTCTAATTGCTTCGCCAGTCAAATTCTCTAGGCATCGTCTCATCGACCGAATCATCGCAAATACACTTGAACTCCTAACGTAGTTATTCCATTATTGAATCACACGTATCGCGAAAAGCCATGTGTGTCTCACAGCTTTCTAATTTAAGCCTAACCCGAACATATGTTTTTTCGTTTGAATCGATAATATTACACGCGCGTATGTTTACGTTTTCCTTTACCAATCGATAGAATGTAAAGCACGTTGTACGTCACGGGTATGTACGTACTACGCCACGAGCGAAGCAGGTATATAGCAACGAACACGCGAGCTTGCAATTAGGCTAAAAGTTGTTCCATGGCAAAAGCGTAACTTAATTTATTTCGTCATGGTCCAAAATCAGCCGTTACGCCAGCAGTCCGACGTCCCATGTACAACCATATTATGAGCCTAGAATGGAGTGTAAGGATGACGTTATGTGGGAATTCCGGAACTTTGTAAAAGAGTTAAACGTTCACCGTTCGACTATTCCCGCATCGTGATCTCCAACGGTCAGCGTAGAATCATGTACACATCGAGAATAATACGAAGAAACGGTGTGACAAAGGGAAACCGTTGGGTGATATCCGAGACTGTGAAAGATGCGAGCATGGTCAACGGATGAGAAGGTCAATGGGAAAGATTTCTGACTAAACTTTTCTTCGAAGCATCTGAGGCGCTTTTAGCTGGGGCTAAAATTCCCATTTGAATAGTGACCAAAACGGAAGCTACTTTCAAGTCACGTGAATCATTCTCCATACGAAATGAACTTATCGAACGGGCGAAAAGTGTCGATATCGCTATCCCCGAAAATACAATGAATTGTCGATAATGCAATTGTACTTTGATTTTACGGAATTTCCGAACGAAACAAACGGAATAACGGATCGTTCTTGATCCTCGATGAAATCATGGGAAACCCGCGCATAATCGTGGTTACAGGATTGTTCTTCGTGCGAGACGCGCGCGCGCATATGATGCCAATGACTGTTGTTTCATGCGGTAAAAGTTGTTAGGATTTTCCGAGATGCTTCGTTTCTCCTCTCCGCGAGCAATACTGAACGCGCGTCACGCGCACTTCCTTCATTCTCCGCAAAACGTCTTACTCTGCACGCTTCTCCTTATTGTCCGCTAATAAGGACACGCTTTGTTCCCCGTATTTTTTGTGTCATACTTCGATCAAATGTTTAGAGATAACATCATAGATCCTCGCTATTGTTTTACTAATTCAACGTGTTAACATTTGCTGTATGACCTGGCCATCTTTCTAGATCATTAACGTCATTCAAATTTCAGCGGAGCAAAGCCACTATCTGCAAGCAATTGTCCTACCAGACGAGGGTTAATAACGTTAACAGTTAGGCGGAAAATCTTGTTTCGGAGTAGGAACAAAGAGCAATCGAGAAGAATAAGGCCATAAATCGATCAATTACCATCGTAATTCCGTTGTTCGAGATTCTGCGGCAGGGCAGGTATTTTCTTTCCAGGAAGAAGATAATTCCTCTCGACAGGCGTCAAAGGATCGGTGAGTGCCTTTGCCGAAGCAAGATCGCCGGTCGCACACGCCAGGTGAAGGGCCGTGTTTCCACGAAAGTTCCTCAGTGCCGGATTTGCACCTGCCAGAATTAGCCGCCTAACGATCCTTGGTTGCCGCGTTAGTACAGCCAGGTGCAGGGGCGACTGGCCGTCGTCGTTCAGAATATTCAAGAGGCACAGATGCGGTGCCATTCTTATTAAACTGAACGCAGCCTCCAGGAAGCCTTGCACTATGGCTATATGCAATTGCCTAGAAAAAAAGAAGTAAAAGATAGAAATTATTAATGGTATTAAAAAACGAAAACATTTCGCCATGAAAATGGAATTTATCGGAATTTCTCACCCTGCGATGAGTAATCGAGATATTACATTAGTCGTTGCTTGAGATAGTGCACGTGTTTACGCGAGTTCGGCGTCGACCTCGAAGCGCCACTATGATTTTTTCCTCATTTCGTACAGTTTGTTTTTTTCATGTATAAAGGTCAATGTTTCGTCATTCTCTAATGACGTGTGCAACGATTTGATAAAGTTTTCTATCCGCTGACGATTGCACATAATAATAGTGAAAATATGACGTAAGGAAAATTGCGTAGTTTTGATGTACGAAAATTATTAAAGAATATTATCGACTGTGACCTTCTATTACTTCGCAATCTCATCTCGTTGATGTAAGAAAGATCTCATAGATACGTATGTATCTCGCGGTTACAACAGTTCAATCGGTCAATGTGCTTCGCGATGTGAAACACGTATAAGACGATCGATCGATTCACGCGTATACGATGACGCGTGACAATATTTGCTTCGATCAAGACATTTCCCGTGTGGTCACAAAAACAGTAATTGTGTTTAATAATGATGTTTATCTTGAAATATTCGTAACGTCGTTTAGTTGGAACGACGATACAATCAAATTCTCGTTGATTTCCTCCATTTAGCGTTATTAACCTCTCCGTTGTTTTCTTTGTGAATAGTAGACTAATACGCGAGAAATTGTGTGTATGAATTTACGTGTGTCGTATTAAACGAAACTTCCTACATGCTTTAACCGACACAAGGAAAAAATGTATGTAAATCATCAAGTCATTGTTTCATCATGCAAAGAGACTAACATCCATTGAATGAGACGTGTTATTATTATCGTACTATCGATCGATAAACTTAAAAACATTAATGTCGCTATAACGCAACGCGGGCTACAGGTTGCATCGAAACTGAGCATGCGCAGATCTGTATCGTTTATCTATATATATTAAATTATCTATCGTTTTATTTTGCTACTTAACGATCATGTTAGTCATATCGGTGATTTCAGAGAGAAGTATTACGTATTCCTAATGTGACGCGCAGAAAAATAATTCGTGTGAGAAGATTAATTGAAAAATTGCGTATTATTAATTAGGTCAAGCTTATTTTGAGAGGCAGAAGTTAAGTAGATTACTTACGTGTCACCATCGTCGTCTTGTGTATAGTAGAGCTGCCAAGGTTCCTCATTGAGTTGTTTTTCAAGGGATTGATGCGGTACATGTCGCAATGTCGAAGCATCGTGTTGCTCGCGTTTCTTAGCGCTTACTGGAGTCAATTCGACAGTAGGTTCAGCCTGAACTTTGCCACTTGCCAGAGGATTCAATGTAACTTGCTTCAGTGTAAGCTGGCTCAAGCTTTCGCTTAAACCAAGATCCACGCCACTGTCTGCTCTCATTGGTTCCGGGGCGACGGGTGCGGTTGTTGCAACATTCAATTCGTAGTCGCACAGCTCGGAACTGACTTGGAGATTTCCACTGGACAAAAATCCGGAATCAGTGTGGCCCGAATTACGTTGTTCTTCGCACTTGTGTTGTTCGTTCTCTGGAATATTGCTCTCCACCGGTGTCGTTCTTGACGAATGCCACATTTTCGATGTCGATATTCGATCCGTGCACGAAGATCGACTTTTTCCCGCTCGTCGAAAGGAAAACTACCACGTGATTCGTGTACACATACACAAACACAGAGCTATGCACTGTGTATACACTACAATTTTCTAAAATCTTGACGCAATAATTCTACGTAGTTTTTCGAGTGAATGATTAATCGGCTTTTACGATTTCGTTCGATTGTCCTTCCTCTATACAAGAACACGTTCGTCTCTATTTCGTTCGTTCGCAAGCGACGCCACTGCTCCGTTTATTCGAGCAATCATTCGATTGTCGTTCGCCTCGAACAGCTGGCTTCTTTATGTGTGTTCGGTTTCTCGTTGCGTTGCATTCTCGTTTCGACTGTGTTCGTAGATATCGGCGGCTAGTGCACGTCTTTCCACGATAACTTTGCGTTCATGAAGATATGTTTCACGTACAGGTGCGGAAGCCCGTTTGACGGGAAAGGTTATGTAAATAACAATTTGTCTTTTTGACAAAAAAAAGCAGCGACAAAAAGAATTCTGTATATATATATATATATAAATATATGTATGTGTGTGCGTGCGTATATGTATATATACTCGTTAATCGTACGAATTCGTAATCGTGTCGAAACTCCACTCAACGCGCTGTCTGAAAACGAACTAACCGTGGAACGTTAGGTGACGCGCTGAGTAACTTCCACGATGGCCGCGGTGCACAGTGGAACCTCTGGCGGTACAGGCGGCTTGCGAGTCTCAAAGGGGAAGGGTAGGGGTGGGAAAACCCATCGTCCTCTGGCAGGGCCAGCTGCACGTATACACTGTGTACTCAATTTAACTTGACATTCTTTAGATAACCAGTTTAGAAAAAGAAAGCTGAATCGGGAGCTTCATAAAAATTCCTCACACTTATTTATTTTGATTAATTTCATAATTTTACACGGAACAACTATCTGCGAATTATCTCGCTTTTTTCCCACAAATCGGTAATTTCCAGTAAATTGCGGATATTGGTTACAAAAAGTCGTCTCGAGGCGTCAATCGTTAAGGTAAAAACTAATAATTATTCCCCTCTCGAATTATTTTTCTCTACATGCAACAATCTAACCAAACGAAAGATATACACGGGGCTAAAGTTTCTCGACCGTATACGAACGTAAGAAATTTCTTGACACCGTGCATTCGACCGCGTATTTTCATTGCAGTCATTTACCTGCTCATAATTTATCTACCTGTTATTCTTCCTTTTATCTTCGTTATTTCTCTTTTTGACTGATGATCATAAAAAGGGGCGTATCCAATGGTAACCGAGGACAGAGGCTAATGAACTTTCGTTTTAAATCTTTATATCGCATTTAGACGGTCAAGAAATTTCGATCAAATTTTATCGTAGATTCGAAACGCGGCAAGAAAGCATTCGTTTGTCACGACGATTTTAAACGTGTACGTGTATGTTTCTACAGGAAGATGCAGATTTCACCGTTCTACTTTCTTTTCGAATCACTAATACGTACGATACAAACTCATTGGAAATTCCATCGGCATTTCCGATTTGGAAACTTTACTAATATTCACGGGTAATCTAGAAGGTTATTACCGCATTACGTACGATATATACCAAGAAGATACGATAGAACGACGCCCTCCGAACTGTGAAAGCGAATCTCGGTCCTATTCATGGTCGTTTAAATACGGTTTTCCCCAAAGATGGTTACTGACACCCAGCCTTAAAACAAAGGAAACCCGTACTTGTTATCGTTCGTTACACAAACGGCCGGCACACCGATAGTTCCAGGCCATTGTTATAATATGTACTTTTCTATAATCCGACGGTTACACACAGTCTACTTCGAAAATAATAGCTAATTGCAGCTACGTAAATGGGACGATTAGTCAGTGAAAAGTCGCTGCGAGCGAAAAATGAATGAGGCTGTAAAAGCATTTGTAAACGATAGCTTTAATCCTTAGACCGATGACAAATGAATTATATAATTTTACGTAATCGTCCGTTAATAACGAATTCGATAAAATGCTACTGTTTTTTCCATTTGTAATTCACAAGAGAAAATATAATCGGCTAAATAAATTTTGCCAATCCAATATCATGAGTCATATAATTCATTGATAAAAAAATTGATTTATTATGGAAAGAAATTCGCCAATGACCTTGAAAAGAAAAAAAGATAAAAAAAAAACGTGACCAAATTTTTTTGTATTAACAGTGGATGAGAGTTCGGTACTCAAGTTATCTGGGGAAAACCTGATTGTGATAAGCTTAAAACATGTATTATCTCTCGTTTACGAGAACCAATTTCCCAGTAGATATACCATAGATTATCAATAATTTAGCTATTGCACCTTGAATTCACTTCTTAAAAGTTATATCTGTATTAAATACTCTGACATAATTCATTTTTGAGTGTCGATTTCATTCTCAACTATGAAGTTCAAAGGATCGATGGCAAATGGATTTTTTAAGAAGCAATGAGATCGTTTTATTACTTGTATTTAACTAAGTAAATTTAACTAAGTTAAATACAAGTAATTAATAGTATTTTAACCGTTCAAAATCTGAAGAAACACGATGACTCAAATGCGAAGCGGATAAAGTACTGGGTCAGTTTACTTTATCCTCGTCATGTTTTTGAATTCTTGTACGAATATATTTTATTAATTTATTAAGTAAACAATTTAAAGATATTGTTTATTTAATAACCCAATTTTTATAGCTTATATTTAAATTACTTTCATCTAATAATTACAAAAGGGTTTGACGAAAACATGAATGGTTTATTGAACAAAAATTATCATATATTTGTTAAAAGATCACTTACCCATTAATTATAAGTGTAGTTGCAATTGGGACGAATAAAGGGCAAACCGATCTTCAGATTTAGGCGATGACAAGTGCGTTGTTTACGTCGTTTTCTATTAGAAGGAAGAACTGTAGTTATATTACTTTGTATATGAGATTATGTATGAGATACAGTAAGTCTTACGACAGAGGCAAACAAAGTAATTCACATGAGTGAGGCGCTGTGTAGCGTGTGCGGACAAGTTTCCAACTCCATCGAAGAATCGACTGCGCGCTACTAAACGGAATTTAAGTTTGCACGGGAATTTCCCAATAAAAGGAAACATGGATATGCGGGCTCAGAAATTTTTTAAAGGCAATTTTGAATAAAAATTAACCAGGCACTTTCACTCATATAAGTTTAAAATTCAAATATTTTAAATATTTCATGAGCATATATTTTTTACATGGAATTTAAGTCTGGTATACAAAGTAATTTTCATTTTAACAAAATATAAAGATAATTATGTTATGTACTATTATGTTCAAGTATGCCCTGTCTTATCAGTGGTTCACATATAGTTCTTGGCAGTAAATGATATGTATTTTTTTTTAACAATATAATCTGACCATCTTCCAGTTCCAATTTTCCAAAATCTACCACACACTTTACCTGAAATAATGTCACATTTTTATATTTAATTATTATTAGAATGAAGTTTAAACAACTTTGCTTACCTCTACATAAGGAGTCTTTGGAGGTAAGATATTTGCTGTTAGATTAAATCCATGGTCATCTCCCAAAGATCTCATATATGTAGCTAAACATTTATTGTATGATTGAAACCACTGAACTTCAGCATTTAACAGATTAGAATTTATTTCTGCAGGTAGAATACTTCCTAATTCCCAACGTAGTTCTCTTAGTTTTCTCATTCTATTATATATATATGCTAAAACGCATCTTTTGTTTCTTGTTAATGCTATATGTCTTAACTGTACAGATGGCAATAAAGCCATATTATCACCATTTCGGATGGCATTGCTGAAAAATATTTATTCAAAAATATATCTTTTTTATGTTTTACAAATGATTGTTTGTATAGCTATATTTTGTACAAACCTATCTGCCATATTCGCATTATAGAGAGATTGCATCTCTTCTAAAATTTCTTTAACTAATACTTCCTACAAATAAAACATTTTTTTAGATCATTATATAATTAACTTTAATTTAACAATATTATACAACCTACATTAAATGGTAGTATATCAGAGAATAAATCTAGTTCTGATATAAGTTTAAAACCCTTCCTTCCATACATATTTAAACAATAATATTATAAATTAGAAGGAAAGGATGTACAATACTACTGGCTTTAATAATAAATATAATATTTTTAAATCATTGACTATTGTATAAAATATTACTAGTTTTAACAATGACTATTTTAAAATCATCAGTTGCTGTGTAAGATGAACAAACTACCACATGCAACAGTACTGACATCTATACAATTTTTGTTTCTAGCGACATCTTACGTTAAATCAAAAGTTATCGAAAAATAGTTAGGTTATTGTTATAACAACAAACATTGTTTAAATTCAATAATAAGAAATTTCTTTACAATAATGTTGTCGTTTAGGAATGTTGTGGCAAAACTACAAACATGTCCACCTCAAATATTAATGTACTGTACAAAAGCTGTCACGGAAACAATCACTCCATATATTTCAAAGAAAAGTTATCCGAATGAAAGTTTTCTTTACCAAAAACCGCGGGAAGTGTGGTTAGAAAATTTAGATACTGTTCAAAGAAAAAAGTTAGGACTTGTAATTTTACATCCTCATGTTTATGCAACATCTCCTAGGATAGATATAATTCATCAAAATGTGCGATGGCAAAGAATATATCGTTTTGTGGTGATTGTCATATTCACTGATTACTTTTATTAATTTTAAATCAAGAATTATAAACTAGATAAATTAATTCTTTTTATTTTAGTCTTATGCACATACAAAAACACGTGCAGAAGTAAGAGGTGGTGGCAGAAAACCTTGGCCACAAAAAGGATTGGGCAAAGCACGCCATGGTAGTATACGTTCCCCATTATGGAGAGGTGGTGGTATCATACATGGACCTAGATCTCCTACACCTCACTTCTATATGCTTCCTTTCTTTACCCGTGTTGCTGGACTTACATCTACGTTGTCTGTTAAATTGGCACAAGATGATTTATATATCATTAATAATTTAGAAATCCCAACAAATGAACCATCATATATTGAAAAATTAATAGAAGAGAGAAATTGGGGTCCTTCTGTATTATTTGTTGATACCGATGATATAATGCCTAAAAATATCTCAGAAGCTACATATACAATAAAGCATGTAAATTTAATGCCTGTATATGGTAAGTTACATATTAATAAATCCTATGTTACTTATATCACATTCATAATACATTTATTTTTTAGGACTCAATGTTTACAGTATGCTAAAACACAATACTTTAGTTCTTACTGAGAGAGCTGCGCGTTTAATTGAAGACAAAATACTATATCATTTACATAGACCAGATTCTCATAAATTAATGGAAAAGTTTAAACTTAACCAGCAATAAAAATTAGAAAACTAAGAAATAAAACATTTGTTTGTTGTTTATCAAATTGCATTTATTTTCTTTAACAGTAAATAATTATTCATTATAATGTAATATACTTATCAATATTATGTTTCTTAAAATTATTTATTCCTAACTAAAAAATTGATACCTAGATGAATAAGGGTTATTTTTTCTTTAATATTGGCATACTGCTTGATTTTTTAGACAGAGGCTGCAAATATAAATATTAATAATAACATAATATCTAATTATAATTGTTAAAAATGAGGATTTTTACCATTGGTTGAGGGTCTCCACCTAACATTTTTTCTCGAATTGCCCACCTTACACTTGAATGTTTAGCTTCTCCAGGGAAAGACATTTGTTTCCATTCTTGTTGATATTTTTGATAAAGTATAACTGGGTCAGTCTTTTTAAGATTTTTACTTCTTTGAGAGTCTAGTTGCAATCTCCATGGTCTGATAACTATATTCAACAATAAAAAATAAAATTGTACTTATAAACTGTTATGTGTAATATGTTACATTCTTACATGATTTTGTTCCAGAATAAGTATTTCTTGTAGATGATGTACTTTTTGTTTGACTACTTGTAACATGTTCTTGTTGATGTTCTAAAATATTCGGTGCACTCATAGGACGGATAGATTGTATAGGTGTTGATTTTCCCTGATTTGCTATTTTATCATGTTGTGGTTTCATTTTACTCTGTATTCCTATATGAAAATCTTTTCTCAAACACTCTTCATATTTACTTTTACTCTTTAACTGAGGTTTGTCTTCTTCATTATCATATGAGATACTGCTAGATTTAACACTATAATTTTCTTGTGTTTTCATAGATTTTGATTTTGGTTGTAACATATCCAATTTGTCTTTTGTATTTATATAGTTTTTTTCAATATTTATAAAATTTTTGTTTCTTTTATCATTTGATAATTTTGTCACTTTTACCTTCACAAGAGAATCATCAATATAAGAACTAGAAGAATTAGTGGAGATAGTATTTTCTACTGAATAAAATTCTGTTTTCTCTTCTCTAAGAAGTTCTTTGATCATATTTTTTTGTTTGTCTATTATTTTTCTTCTAATTTCTTCCTTTCTTTGTTGCCTTTCATGTTCTTTTACTTTTCTATATAATTTTAAATCTTATACAGAGAAAAAGAATATAAATTAAAAAAATGAATGCAATAATACAAGATACATTATGCATAAGATACTTAAATATTAACGATAACAGAGATAAAAAAATATAATATTACCTTTCATAAATGCTTTAAGCTGTTCAGCAGTAATTCCAACAAATCCCAAGGAATTAAGAAGGACAAGTACGTCTCTTGGGTCGTCATTCATTATTGATAAAATAAAATTGATTTATAACAATAAACGACAACAATGAAAAATATCACCGATTATTTCCGAAACACTATTTAAATGATAGAAACGTTGAATTCGATTGTTTCCCTAGCCATAAATTACCTATAACTATTTAGATGGTTATGCGAACGTTTGTTTAAAAAGAATTATTTCAGTATATTGGAAATTTATTTTGTTATCTAAATGTTTCAGTCTTATTATTAAGAAATGAAAATTTATACACAAACACTTTTAATGCAGTTTGTTACTTCTTATATACAATATTTTATGGAATAAAAATGTCTAGTAAGTACACACTCTATAAAGTAAATATACTTGAGGTTAAAGGTTCTCAATTAAAATTTAACGGATGTTCATTCGCCATCTCTTAGGAAAAGTATGAATTAAAAAGACCGTACGGAAGAATTCAAATAATTGCTAAAATGTATTAAAATGAATCATTGAACGTGAAATATTTTTAATAAGAAAGATATTTTGTCGATATTAAGCGATATGAATGTTTTGAATAAATAAATAAATATCATATCCAACGTTTACGTGAAACATAATCTGTTTCTCATGTTACAGAATATTCCACAAACGTTTATATTACGAACAATATAATCGGGAGCTGCGCAGAACCTTTCACATGCGCTTGATTTAAGTTTAACGAAGCATGTTTAATTGTTCATTAGTCTGAAAACTAATCTTCGTAGAAAATGTCGCCGATCGGATATATTGCTTTTGTGTTTATCATTGCAATAATAATAAATTCCTTATCAGGTAACACTTTATTTTTAAATTGTCTATAGGCAAAAATAATTTAATGTTTAAAAACTGTAACTGATAAATTTAAAACGTATCGACGAGTATTTTTATTTTTCAGGTATATGCGCCTCAGAAATTTATAGTTTAGATGTTCCACTCGTTGTGCGTAATGGAACTGGACCAATTGACCTTTCTTGTAATTACAATCTCAGGGAAAATGAGAACGGTCTTGTGGTGAAATGGTATCACAATACAGATCAAATCTATCAGTGGATACCACCAAGTAATTTTAATCACGATTTAACTATTTGATCCGAAGTGAACCTACAAAATATATAACTTTTCTTTTTATTTTTATTTTAACTGTAGTGTCACCTCAGGACATAGGAGTGATAAACGGATATACGGAATATCCTGAAGAAAATTTAAGACATCCCAATTCTCGATCTATTATCAATTTAAAAATGGCTATCATCGAAATGAGCGGGGAATATACTTGTACGATTAGCACCTTTCAGGAAGAAGATACGAAGAAAACAAAAATGATTGTTTATGGTAAGTCTGTGATTATATATAATAATTCAAAAATTTATATTAAATATACCTGACTGTATTATATTGTATTGCAGTGCCAGAAGTTAATACAACCATTCGTGTCTCCTCATTCAACGAAAGTCATCTAAACGTAATATGTGTCGCAAATGGAGCACAACCACGACCAATATTAAAGATTTACACGGAAGGAATCGAAGTGAATAATTATCATGATAAAATTGAGAGAACAATAGCATATGAGAATATTCTTTTCGTAAAACGCAGCGCAATCATAGAGAATCCTCTAGAACCACTGCTATTAGAATGCGAAATTTCTATACCCTATACAGATTATAAACGCAGAGAGAGGATTGTTTATTACCCCAGTGCGAATCGTTTCGATTGACGCATAAAATAAGAAACAAATTAATATATCTACATAATTATTTATTTTATTTTCAGCTCAAATGTTATCGCAAAGAAGTAGTGCAACAAACTATCGAATTGGTATCGTCACTGTCATTTTCTACATAGTATTGTTATTAAAGTAAATAAATATACATATATAAGATTGTAAATATAAAATCTCATAAATTTCTTGTATTAAGTTCCACGTGTATGTAAATCATCAAATTCTTTGCAACTTTTTTCGCTATAAAATATAAAGTTTTGATAAATTTATATCTCTATACAGTGGAATAGTAAATTCGTCCAATTATAGCGATATTTCAACTCAAAAATCTCTGTAAATATCCTGTCAAGGCAGAGAATGCAATTGCGTGTGCGTTAAGGATTAAGGAGGAAACTGGGGTTGGTGGGGAGATATATCTTCAGCCGGCGATCCTCGGCAAGATTATCACTTACTGTTCGACGCTCATCCGCAAAGGATTCGTAAGTTGACGTCCTTAAAATTAGTTTTTCAATCATTTAAATCTAAAATTCTTTTAATCTATTCTATCCTAATATAAATTTGATCTATTACCTGTGCACCGTGTTATCGTTTTTTTTTATTTTTAATTTATATTTGACAATAGATGATAGAAACGATAAAGTATAAAATGATTGTGTTGTTTGTGATTTAAGATATTCATTTATCATATATATATTTTTTTCTGTTAAATCTAACAGTGAATTATCAAACCGGAAAATGAATTACATTTGCGTGATACTGTTTCTTATAGGTAAGCAATATTTAATTTTTATAATAGTAGATGTGCATATATTTAACATTTATTGCGAGTAGAAATACATTGAGATTAATGAAATAATTACACAAATAATGAAACGACTTCATGAAATATTGTTCTGCCTAAAATAATTATTACAATATTGTTACATTTGTTGCTGAATATCGAATAGAAGCATAATGAAAAAAAAGAGCATGTTCAAAAAAGACATAATTTTTTAAATATTTTTTTTGAACTAATAAAAATAGAAAAAAAAGTTTCACAAAATTTAATTATAATATGCAACAGCTTCGGTCCTTTTTAAATGCAATGACTTGTAATTACTTGCTTAAAATTCATCGATGGAGGTAGGCGTCACTCGCGACATACATAAATGCATTTCTTCGTCCTTTTTTAAATAAGTCATTCTTTTTACTCAAGCATGCTTTAGCAAATTATTTTAGTTCGGTGAAAATGAATGAAATAAAAATATAAATATATTTTTTACAATGTAGTGTGCGCATTGTGGATCTTTGAAGGAACTTTATCCTGCGACCAGTGCGGTAGAGAATGCGCCGATATATGTGGAACTCGACATTTTCGTGCTTGTTGCTTCAACAATATGAAAAAAAGGCAACTCGATGTTGGATCAAAATTATGGATAAGACCACGCCGATACATGGTATGGTTGCAGCCGGATTTCGACATGTACTAATTATTTGATTGTTTTGTACTTCTGTATCAGTATGCTTCATTGAAACCAAGGTACTATATATACTCAGGGATAACTTTTTAATTGTAATTATAAATGTCTTAGTTTTGCAATATTATTGCTCTAAGAATATTTAATGTACTATAATTTGCTTACATTATGAAATGCGATAAATCAAATAAATTGTAAGTACGATAGTACTTACTACCTCCGTAAGTACGATATTTATTATTTCTATAAAAAAATTTTTTTTTTTAAATAGTAAGAAAATAAAAAATGAAGTGAAACATCTTTCATCAAATAATTTTATTTTGATACTATTTTATTCATTTGATTTTTGTACATGTTCAAAATATTTAAACAATCCAATTCCTTATGCGTTTCATTGTTTTTTGAAACAAGACAGTCTGCTTTTTTTTGTCAGAACAAATCTCTAATTTCTCTAATAATTTTTTGCTTTTATTCCTTATCATATTCCACCGTAATTTATCCAAACCAGGATATGATTCATTGTTTAAAAGTATTAATAAATCCGATGTATTATTAGCGTCATCAAAAGTAATTAATTTTTTCTTTATTTGATCATTTTTGTGTTTTTTTCTGATTATAGACACGTTTCCAGTATTTGTGGAATACAATTTTTGTTTATTATCCGGAATATTTATTGTTTTTTCCTTTGTATCTTCAGTTTTTGTAAATGTCCCATGGCCTTTTTTAGAACTTATTGGTGTGTTTGGAATATATTTTAAATTAAAAGTGCGACGATCTATAATTTCTACAACATAAAGTAAATTTTATAATATTTGTATATAAATAATATTCTTCGTTATAAAATTATTTACTTATAAATTAATTTTAATACCTCCTCTATCATCATTAGAAATAACATTTTCACTCTGATTTGAAAGTGAACTGTGTACAATACTTTGATCTTCCATATGAGGAAATGCATTTTCAGATTTGGTTTTCCTGCTATAATCTTGTATATCAATGATTACATTTTCATCTGAATCATATCCACGAGGGGTAATTAATTTAAACATTATATTTTTTAATCCATAACTACTGGGTACACTGTATAAACATAAATTATTTAAATATTATATTCTTTTTATAATAGTTCATTATATTTATCCTTTTACATGCCTTGGGATAGGTTCATCTATCCATGGTATCGATAACCATGATTTCAAATCATTTGCAAATTCATAGTCTTTAGGGAGCCAAGATACTCCAACGACTTCAAATAAATTTAGGTACTGATACAACTTATTATACCATATACATGAATTTTTAATCAGATACCTTGATAAAATCCTATGGTAAAATATCCTGATATTTTATAGATACAATTCATCAATATATACTATATAACAGGAAAATAACATACCATATTCTGCTAACAACAGCATATGCAATAACAGCAATACACCATGCATGTCCTAAACCTATTCTACACTTAAGAAAATGTGCGGAGTATTTAGAAACCTCTTCTATACGTAACATGAGTTTTGCAAATCCCTGTGTTTTGACTAAAACATATTCTATCATTTGTTTACTTGGCAATGTAGTATACTTTGTATTTACTTCAACATAGTTCTTTAAATTCTTATATTCTTTTTGAAGTGACAATGATAAATATTTAAGCAAAGCTTTATTTAATTTAGACATTGATTTGGCCCCTTTATCATTTCGAAATTTACTTTTCATACGATAAATTAGTCTACTAAGAATTGCAGCTTCTTTGTGTAATAATTCTTGACATGTTAAATCTTTTATAACTTTATCCAGCATTAACAAAAATTTAGTTGCATCTAACAATGATAAAAATAAATAATACAATTTTTTTAATATTCTTTATTTACAAACCGTATGAGGCTTACCAAACTTTTGATTTTCAACGTGACAAGTTGCATTTGGAGGTCGTTCTAATTGCATATGATTCCATATTGCTTCCATGTTGATTATTTACTTCGAATATAATTTATTTTTTGTACGAGTAACAAAATACAGATATAACCTCACTTCTTGCATGTGTACACAAACGTCAATATAAGAACACAACCATAGTTATATTTTATTTATTTTTATTAATACCTTATAATTTAGAAAACGTAAAATGCAATCAGTATATACGCTTAAATGTAAATATGATATAAATTCATTCGAATACATAAGTATATATGATATGAAACATACTATTATCGACGACAATATACACTTATTCCTCGAAAATCAGTCGGAGTAACAGGGACTGGTCGAGATAATACAGGAGAACTTGGAGGTAGATCAAGAGGAAGTAGTTTATATACTCCACGATATCTGAAACCTCCTTGTATAATAGGACGGTACATTAAATTTGTCCATGGACCATAATTTTGCGGCGAATTCGCAGGCTGTTTAAATCTCCAATATGTAATTAAAATATGTTAATAAAAGGGCAAATAATAGATGTTCTGAACTGTATACTGAAACCTGTATTATGTGTAGATACAATAAATTATTATTAAATCATTACCTGACAGCCTTTATTGGTTTTATTTTCGGACAGTATGGTTGATTAGTTCTATGTCGCTCAATATTTAATAAAGGCCAGTTGCACGTTGTGACCGTGCAACTGATTCTATCAAAATGAGATAGAGGACAAAGATCACATATTTTTTTGTCCATTGTAGTTCATACATTCGTAAATTTACTAAAGGTTTTTTAAGTGTAAAAGTTTAATTGACTAATAGCCATTTTGAGTGAAAAAACTGAATATTGTTGTAATGATATTTGTTTTGTATACATCTGTATTTCAAATTTATAGAAATATACACATATATATAACACAAGATTTAATACAAACAATATTATTTTATGAGACCTAACAGTAAATATCTTATTTTTGAGATAATTATATACGAAAGGGGTAAATAGATATTGGGATATAAAGCAGATACGACTTTCAGCAAGCATATGATAAACAAGGATGACACCTGATTGTTCCAATATAGAATAATCCACCAGTAGTAACAGGTGCTCTAAAGACAGGTCCGCATTCAAAAGGAGCTGGCACTGGCTTAGGTGAAGGTGCACAAGTAATACACGGATGACCTGTGCAAGGCGGACAAACAAAAGGACGCGGGGGGCAAGGTAACAGTGGCGGTTGTGGGGGGCATGGCATACAGGTAATTGGTACAGGTGAACAACAATTAGATTTTGGTTCCAACTTGTATGGTGCTGGACACGTGTAGCAACAAATAGGTGTCGGTGGGCACGATGTAGAGCATAATGGTGGGCATTGTGGTTCCATTGGTGGACAACAACCGCAACTAAAATAATATTTAAATTGACCGCCATTGCATTTATCAAAGATAAGATAATTATACCTTTCAATCATGTTTTTTAAATCGTTTTTAGTGAAACACCGTTCACATTTTACGAATACCGACATTTAACTCGATAATGTAATTAGTAATTATACAACTACAAATTTTATTAATATTTCCGAACAAAAACCTGAAGTTCGGTTGTAAAATAGTAGAAGGGTACAATTAAACATTTAATAATTCCGGCAAATACAGACACATTCAATGATTATACGACAAGTTATTTAAGGTTAATGTATTTTATTCATATAATCATTATATAAATTTATTAAAGATGGCGGAGTTCGAGGGGTAATTATGGATAATGCTGCTTTAAAATGTTCTTTCGTAATTATAGTAGCGTTCAAATCTTCCTCAAGTGCTTCCATCGCTGCTTCGTGACAAATCGCTTGAATTTCTGCTCCAGAATATCCTTCTGTAAGATCAACTAAATCACGAATTTCTATATCTTCGGCGATGGGCATATTTTTTAATTTTATATCAAAAATCTCTTGTCTAGTTTCAAAGTCAGGTAATGGCACATATATTATTCTATCCACACGTCCTGGTCGAAGAAGTGCCTGCACAAAAACAATATTTTAATTAATAAAAAATTGTATGCTGAATATAATTATTTACTATAATGTGGCTGACTTTATCAATTTTGTCGGGTCGATTAGTTGCTGCCACTAATGTAACACTGCCTAATGCAGTAATTCCGTCGAGTTCTGTTAATAGTTGTGCTAAAACTCGCTCTTGCACGTTACTTCCGCCGCCGGACGATGAGCTTCTTTCACCCCCTAATGCATCAATTTCATCGATAAATATTATGGAAGGTGAAACTTGTCTTGCTTTCCTAAATATTTCTCTTACAGCTTTCTCAGATTCACCCACCCATTTAGAGAATAATTCTGGTCCCTAGGATTAACATATCTTGTTTAGAATGGAAAAATTGTGCATCTAACATCCTTCCTTTATTCCTTACCTTTATATTTAAAAAGTTTACTTTACTTTCTGTGGCAAGGGCTTTTGCAACCATTGTTTTGGAACAACCAGGTGGTCCAAACATTAAAACTCCTTTAGGTGGAGTTATACCCATCCTGCGAAATGCTTCGGGATGACACAACGGCCATTCGATAGCTTGTTTTAATTTTAATTTTAAATGTTTTTGCCCTCCTACATCCGACCATCGTACATTCGGTACTTCTATTAAAACTTCTTTCATAGCTGATGGTTTTGTCACAGTTAAAGCGCGTTCGAAATCTGATAACGTTACTTTTAACGAAGTATTGGAAGTAGTATTTGGTTTGTGTTGATATTTTACAGCATTTAAAATTGCTTGAGAACACAAACCATACAGATCAGCGCCAACAAACCCATGAGTAACAAACGCAACATTTTGTATATCTTCTGGAGATAGCGTATTTGGTATTTTTGCTAACATTTTTTTAAATATTTCTGTGCGCATACTAGGAGTAGGAACATAAATTTCAAATTCTCTGTCTATTCTGCCCGGCCTTCTAAGAGAATTGTCTACAAAATCTATTTTCGAAGTTGTAGCAAGTATTACAACATTAACATTTCTATTTTGTATATCATCAAAAAGTGCTGTTAGCTGTGAAAGGACTCTTCTTTCATGATCTGTACTTGAAGTACTTCTTTTAGGACATAAGCTATCAACTTCTTCTATTAAAATAATACTTGGTGCTTTAGCTTTAGCTTCCATAAAAATATCTTGCAATTTTTTCTCTGTTTCACCTAGAGATTTACTATAAATATCTGAACTGTAAATAGTAATGGAATTGATATCATATTCTGATATTAAGGCATTAGCAATAACAGATTTACCGACACCAGCAGTGCCATATAATAATATTCCTTTACTAATAAAAAAATCTCCAATGCTTTGGCATCTACCAAGACCAATGTCAAGGACATGTTTTATATCTTCTATTACTTTGTCATATCCTCCAATATCTTGTAACTTATATTTAACTTTCTTGTACTCTTCTTGTTTCTCCCCCTGTTTTTCATTTAAAATTGTCCATTTCGTATTGTAAAGAGCTTTATAAAATTTGGTACTATGTTCTTGATCAGTTATATTTAATTGACTTAATTGTTCAGTGAAATTAACGTCTGAGCACTCATTTGATATAACTTTGATAATCTTATAAATTAGTTTCTTGCCATAGAAAGGCACACTGAATTTATTACCCACAGTAAAAATTTTTTCCTCGTTGTGATTTTTAAGTATTACGTTAAGTTCCATAGTTGTTTCTGGTAATGTTTGCTTCCCAACACTGCAGATTATAAATTCTTTAGCAATATTAACAGAGTAATTTAATTTTTGAATCCTAACTAAACCTTGAAGGTTATTTAATTCTTTTGCTAAAAGAAAAATATTAATACAAATATTTTTGCATACATTATTTAGGAAAATTAAAAAAAATTTTACCATGTTTTGTTAATGAAACACTAGTTAGAGCTTTATCTTTAGTTGGCCATGCAGTTTTAATAACTTTGTTTTCTCCAGCAATCACAACAGCAGAGTCTCCAATTGCAATTTCACATAATTGCAAAGCAGATTGAGATATAAATACCATGTCATCAAATGCTCTTACAGAAATATTTTTTGGTTGATCTATGCAATAAACATTTATATACATTTATATTATTACGTTAGAGATATAAGTAATGATAAATATAAGAACATATATTTTACCTAATAAATTATATGTTTCTATACTGCTATATAATATATTATTGTAAATGAAATCATGATTCCATGTTTCAAGATTAGGTGGACAATTGGTGAGATGTACTTCGAAATCTTTTTGTGCTAAAATACTCTGACATGCACCACATGTCATCCAAGGAGAAAGACTTTTTCTTCCACTTTCTTTTGTTTTTGAAGTCATTCTGCAACAATACAAATAATTGATAAAACATAAATCATAAAGCATTACTATTTTGTCATTTTGTAATAGAGTTTATAAAAGTATTAGTTTTTAAAGATATTAAAAGAAACGAATATTTATCTGGGAGAACATAACCTATAAGTTACGTAGAAGTGTTCTATATCAAATACAATAAAGGAAAAAAGAAAACATACATCTTTATAAAATGTGTGCAAATATATATGAACGTTCTTAAGTTGTAAGTTTCAGTATTAAAATTAGTACAAAATATAAAATTTCATAAAAATGTTTATAATCAAATGCCATCTATCATGATCACGTGCTCGCCCGGTATGCAACACGAAACTAAATTCTATATGAAATGATGTCAATATTTGACAAATAAAATGTTCAATAACGATACACAAGTAAAGAATATTCCAGTAACTAAATAGCGTTATAGAAATTATTTAGATAAATGCAAAATAGAATATTTATTTAATTCATTGATGGAAAAATATTACGTTAACATTGAAATTATTAACAATCTTTTAGGAAGATCTAAAGTATGTTAGATATCACTTTTAAATGTTACGAATCAGCCCGCCAATTAATACAGACACCCTATTTGATGGAGGCATAACGTAATCATAAGGATAGAGAAAGTAATCAACGAATAATAAAAATATATTTCGAACCATTATACGAAGAGCTCGTGAAGATCTTTAGATGTAATCGAAAAGGACGACGCAGTGTAATAAGTGTTCAGTTCACGGAAACAATAAATTCTCCTGTGGTAAAAAGAATATACGAAGAAAAGGATTTTCTTTCTCATCCCTTTTTAACATTCAAACTTTAGATAGAATATTCCATTACTGAACTTTCAATATCGAATTTACAGAATTCTCTCGGTGTAAAAAAGAAGCCAAGACCGGGCTATAACGAACACAAGTTACTAAACTGGCTTGTCGGTTTAATTTAAATGTTACGTTAACGGATAATTCAAAATCAACCTTGGTTTACAATACAGGTAATCATAACCTAAACTTAATCCATTTTATCATAGTTATCTCTAAATTAGATATCGGTTTGAAAATTTTGTGGTCGAAATGCTTATAGAAGAACGGGGCATGTGGAATGTCGAGGTTTGCATGCAGACGAGATGAATCAGGTTCGGCGGAGCATAAAATCAGCAGCATCGGCCGCATCAGTGATTGCGGCAGGCAAGAAGCAAAAGACCAATGGATGGACGGGCCAGCCGTCACGAAGCGGGCCGACGTTCCCGTACCAAACGAGATTAATAGAGATCCGCCTGTCAGCCGGACGCCTCTCCGTCTGAGCGAGATCCAGCGGCTTCCAGACGGCCAGTCTTCTCGCAGATCGCAACCTGCGTGGGCAACAACCGATCGTGATCGATCGCACGGTGCGTCCTCTCTGGACTACCGCTTTGCATGTCGTGTACGTGCGAGACCAAGAGTATTTCGTGTACCACGAATCTTCTAGTCATCCGGGCATACATAGAGTAATGAGATAATAACCACTGTGACAAATTAGCACAATTTCGTCCACGCGTCGACGCATTTTGTCTACGTTATACATACCTACGTTTAGAGAAAACCATTAAACGTTATACGTATTTTTCAAACGGCAAACAACTCGCGCATCTCCGATACACGAACTCATTCCCGAATCTCGCCATTCCGTTACGGCAAATCGCGTTCGACCGATTTACGTCCATCGTTATTCGTACTAATGCGAATACAAATCACGAGGGGTCGGTGGGCCGTATTCGGTGGCTTCACCTTAGTTTGCCTCGCCAATTTGCGATTAGGTAGGCACCGTATCGCACTTTTTCATTCTGACTCATCCTTTTTGTTCCTTTCTCTTTTTCTCAAATTTTCCGTGTTCATTTCATCGTTTTGTATTTCGTCTAATTCATGAATTACGTTCATTGCTGTACAAAAATAGTAGTATTTTAGGAAAATCGTGATCTAGTTTGTTATCGATGTCGGTGTTGTTTCTGTTTCAGCCATCGGTGACCAGAATGAGGGCAACGAAGACAGGACACACGGCGATGAGGTTTGGCAACACGTATGCTGCGCCAGACACGACAAAATTATCGATGTTGGATACGGTAAGCAAATTTCACCAAAAATACTAAAATTTGGACGATGTCAGGACGGAGCATACAGAGATACAGAGATGAACGGGGGGAGCTGTGACACGGTATATCGTTCAGAAAAGAGGTTCGGTCAGGAGTTACATAATTTTAACAACTGGCCAAATGTAATTTACGTTCCCTCGTTTCGCTCTTACCGCCCCATATACACGAGTGGCAAATTAATATCGGGTGTTCAATCAATTGACGCCGATTGAGAGGATGAAGCATCCGGTGATGATGTAGTCGTGTGCCTATGATCAAAAGATTTGACCGATTTATCATTGCAAACAGTCGCTTTAAAATAGCGCGGGAAGTGTCAAATCGACCGCAGTTCGATCTCATTAGGCTTCGTTTTCTCACAGAGAGATCAATTGCCTTATAGATCGAAGACGATCGAAGAAGCAAGTCTGCGATTCGTAGAATGTTAATGCCCCTCGCGAACGAATAATTAACGTTTCGCCGAAGCGGCCGGTTCCACGAAACGACCAAAGAAACAACTACCCTTCGAGTCGCGATCAATTGTCAATTAAACGATTTCGTTGATCGGCGTCTGGTATCCTCGACCCACGCTTAGACTCGTGCCATCGCTTCTAGCTTCGACTACCTGAAAACACCGGGTTCTTCGATCGTTGGGAGCAGGAATCTACGCGGAACCCCGGCGTTTCTACTAAATCTCGAGGTAATGCCATTTATAGGAAGAAACGCGGAAAGATGACAGAGAAGTAGCCAAAGGATAATGTGAATCACCGAAGAATCAGCGCATTCCATATCCCACGCGTTCGCGCCAAAAATAGCACGGTTACACTATAGACGGTTCTACCCCCTTCTTATATCTTGTCAACGTTTAATGTGATACAAGTCGTAAATTTCGTACAATGATCGCGAGCATTACCGTGCGGCGCCATCGGATTTACACGCGTCTCATTTTTCGCGAACGCCACGGCACACAGTGAACACCACCATCCGCGGGCCTACTGAAATTTCATTCAACTTCCCCGCAAAGCGACACTTCATCCCTAACGCTAATCCCTTTTCTCGATCGTCCATTTTGATTTTTATTTTCGCAGGAATATCAGGCGAAATTATTCAAATCGACGCAGGCCATTGTCGTAACTTGTGTCCGCGGCACGTGTTGGATGATCCAGGAGACGTGAGTCGGCCTACTGTACAGGTAAATCTTTTTGGCATACGATCGTACTTTTCAAAATTTCGGTTATTCGGGAGCAGGGATTGCTCAGGGAGGAATGCAGGGTTACGAAGATACATGGGATGTGCATAATCCATGACTCATGGCTACAGGATGCACCTGATGTGAACAGCTTTTTGGGTGATCCCCACCTCGAACGCGAAAAAAAGAGAAAAAAGAGAGAAAAGAAGTGAGACAAGAAAAAAAGCACCGCCATCGCAGAGTTTATCGAACCGGTCGTGAAACTGTCGAATTCCTCCACCCGGAATCTTTTAAAATTCAACGTCACGGTCAAGCTTATCTTACGATTAAAAAGGAAACGAAACAATTCCAGAATCCGCGAGATCTTTGAAAAACACACTGGAAAGTCTGCGAATGCGTACACATATTAAGGGACGGATCGAAGTCCGAAAAAGCGAGATCGGACGTCGAAGAATTCTACCGGTCGGTGGAGCGACGCGTCCAAGGGAACAAAAAGGCACGCATGCGAAAAGAGCGAATTCGCAAATAGAAGAAAAAATTACCGCGATACACGTTGCCACGGCAGGTTACGTATGCCAAGGGCTATACGAAGGGCGAAAAAGGAAGGAACGTCATATAGATTTATGACGCATGGGATCGACCAATCCGCCAGCTGGAATGCGGCCACGCCAGCATCGCGCGATCGTACGATCTTCGCGACTTTTACGGCGAGTGCACCCCACACCGTATCGAGGACCGCGCATCTTCGTCGATGATCGTGCCATTTTTATACATATATATCTTATCCATTCTATACTCCGAACTACTTCATCCACCAACATCCTGATAGGCAACCATCGCGCGTTCCTACCTCGCTTTCGTGCTAATGACCATTGCGTTGCACGTTAGAAGAGCAGTAGCCCGATGAGCGTGGTAAACGAACGTGTCGTAATAATTCGGGAATAATTTGAGAACGACCCTTCGTATACTTTGGTCGTTCGTTGAGGGAGAAAGCTATTTTCGTCATGTGATGCAACCCGATCGGTGGTTTACGATCTTGCAGCACCCACGCCGCAGGAGAGAAACAGGCTTGAGAAGAAAAAATGTTGCACGCGATATGCAGAAAGAGGAGGATGTGTTTTGCGTCCTTGGAAGGTCGTATCGTGCCGGGTCACCGCTCCGGCGCCAGCTTGGCCAGTTACTAAATCCCGAATCGTGTTCCTGGGATCTCGAGGATGGATGTACCTGAGGAGAGAATTTATTAGAAAATATTCTTAGCCAGAAATATCACCGGGGGGGATAAAAGGAGGAAGAAGAGAAGGAAAAGGGTAGAGGCACATGGCTTTGCACGGACAAAGATAACGGTCGGTGTTATCCCGCAGCGAGAATAATTAAATGGCCCGCGTGTCGCGAAAGAAATCGGGTACCAAAGAAAACGTCCGAACAGCAGATAACGAGGCGCGCGAATATTATAAATTCCTCCGTGGACACCATCGATACTTTCTTGCTTGGCAAACGTACGACGAAATAAAATACGAATTCTGTGAAGTCGCGTGCTCGCTTTGCTCATCCAACATCTGTATCGATAAAATGTTCCCCCGTGTGATACACGGCCAACCATTCCAGAAGCGTGTTCTCCTTCCTTACCACGGTGGTAACATTTCATTCGATCCGATTCAAATATCCGAGTTTCCGTTTCGACCATGCTTGAACGTAACTCATTTGCGCTTTTCGTTCCCCCAGAGATGTTTCCCGGAATCGCATTGTCGTCCAAGGGCAGCGAAGCTGGAGAGGGTGTCGACGATCCAAGGGGTTCGCGTGATCGAAGTCATAGAGGCCTGCGAATGCACGCCGGACGCGTCCTGTAAGAGAGAATCCTTCACGCATCTCGTACATTCCGGTACTCCTCATCAAACCATGTTGGATGTCGGAGTGTGTATGGGTCACTGTGCTAAAGGTATCTAATTCCTTTTTTTCCACTTTGTCGCGCGTACTTCGTATCGTAATTCATGCACGATAATGGTCGATATGCCCTTTGAAAGATCTCGGATGCAAACCGGTGAGGAACAGTACGGTTAGCATCAAAGGACCAAACGGTATGGCAAATTGTCTACGTTTCTAGTAGATAGAGTGACTCGATGAAGTAATCGGACTTATTATGTTACCTTTTAGGGGACGAAGTGTACCAGGTAATCGAGAAATGCGGTTGCGCTGGGACATGTCACAAAATGGATCACATGGAGACTGTCCTGGATTTCAGCGAAGTTGAAATTAAGGACGGTACGAACACGACGGATGTTAGGCCAGAAGTTTGGGTAAATGTTTTGCCACATGATCTAAGACGTCGCAGTAATCGCGTTGTAACTTATCATGTTGACTTTGTGTTCGCGCAAATAGAAAATTAACGTCGGACAATGCGTTGGAACGTGTTCGGTGAACGAAATGGAGATGTGTCTATTGAGAGACAAAAAAGAGCCATCGAGATGTTTGGCGGGCCTGTACTCGAGGCAACACACTTGTATACCCGCTAGATTCAAAGTTCACGAGTACAGGTATTCGGATGTGGGTTAATGATCGACGATGTGGATGCAATTAGAGATTCACCGTTGGGATTGATCGTTTGTTTCAGGACTCGTCGTGGATCGAAGAGAGAAATTATTCAAATTACCCAGTGTGCTTGTGTCTGAATAGGATAGGGAGAAACGAGAGAGATCTGTTCGATTCAGCAGACCGATGGGACAGGTTTATAGAGACATTCAAGCTACTTTATGCGTCGCGTAAATACAAAGTACCATTTCGATGTTCCTACATACACCGTGTATTGGTATAACAAATAAACGTACAATGACTTTTTACTAAAAGTCAACTGGCTACCTAAAAGTCCACGCTTACCGGTTCCATCCGATCCGTTTGTCACTCTCTATCGTTGCATTAGTCCGCAATTTTCACGGCAATGGAACTAATCTTTCGAAAACTGTCTAAGGAACTTTAGAATTAGTTCCACTTGCGCCGTTAATTCGTTTCACGGTATAAGATAATAAAAGCGGAATTGTATTTAGCAAGACGCAATAAGAAGATCGGCAAGTTCCTTCCGCGAATTTCATGCGCATTTCTACAAAAGACACGCCAATTGGCACTGGCCAACTTTGTACTTACATACAACTATCCGGTTGGTTCGTTCCCGTTTCGTCTTGCGCTCATAAACGAATAATGCAACAAAAAGAACGAGGTCGAAACTGGTGCTCGATTTTCGAACGTGGAGGCGAAAATACACGCTGACACCCTCGCGAGATCCGTCATCGTCCTCGTAGGAAAACAACCGATTATTCGCGACATCTAAATATCGCTGCGTGGCCACATGACTCGCCACTCACGAATTTACGGAATTTAGGAAGCGTGAGCTTTTTTTAATAGCCCCACGGTGTCATCATCACGTTCCTCGTGGCTTTCGTTCGCCTCGCAATGCCATCGAGTATAATCGACCTTTACCGGTTTTTTGTTTGTCCCAATATTTAATTCTTCATCACGGTCAATTTCATCTCCGAAAAGGAAAAAAAGAAAAAAAAAGAAAAAAAAAGAAAAAACACAAACAAAGGAAAAGAGAAAATTTATTGTCCAAAAATACGAATGTTTTAAATAGAATTTCGAAAAGTAGTTTCTCGCCAGTTAAAAGAAACGCGACACGTGCTCGATGGCCGAGGATGATCGAAGGTGATCTAGGACAACTTAATAAGAAGCAATTGGGGAGAAGAAAAGTCGCATTGTCGACTCGCGTCGAGTCGCGTAGCGTCGCGTCGGTGTCCCGTGAGTGAAGCCGATGTCGCTGCGGGGAGCAACGCGGGGGAGGCAACTCCCGGCATAGCATAAAGGTGACTCCTCGCAGCCAAGACCTCCCATATGCTACTTAGCGTTCCGTTCGGTTCGGCAAACCTCCTGTCCACTAGCAGAGAAGGTGTCCGCTTCTTCCTCCGCTAAGAAGCATTTGTCGCGGACTTTACGTAGATTCGGTCGATGTTCCACATTGTCATCGAGCTATTCGTCGAAGCGAATCCGGAGAGTCTACAGTCGTCGGCTGTTATCGCGTGTTTCAAGCCTATTTTCGGACCTCGTTCTCCACTGTCACGAACGAACCTCAGACGAAAATGATGACGAGAGATAGCCGGTTTCACCTTTTGGCGATACTCTTCTTACTGTGCTCTTTCAACGTGCACGCACATCCAAGTCGCTTTTACGAAGACGATAACGTCAACGAGGAAGAACTTGTCAACTCCTGGTCCTTGGATAACTTGGAGGACGGGAGCGAGCACGACGCTCGACGGGACGAGGCTTTAGTAAAACTGCAACAGGTCCGTCTCGAGAGAACTGTGTCGAATATATAGACATTGCTTGTTGTGAGACTCGGTGAAAAATGGAACCTTTATTTTCGAATGATCAGAGATAAGAGTGGGACGAAGTAGATTCCATTTTCGGGAGAAACGTGTTCGAAACGACCGCGTTAACCAGTCGATGAAATCGTTACAGGTCCTTGGTATTCGGAGTCACGGCGAGAAAACGGGACGTCACAAGGTTCCACCGCAATTTATGGTGGAATTGTATAACAATGTAGCAGATCCTAGCGGTGTGACGCGAGGTAAAAATCCATACAATGCCAAGGTTGTCCGCAGCTTTATCGAAAGAGGTAAACGCACCTCCTCAGTGTTGTTCGTCCTTCCGCCTTCTATCGGAATTTTCGCTAAAGCAAATACTTTTACCCAGATACCACGATATCGAGGTTCTACTTCTTTAACATTACGGGTTTAGAGGTGAACGAATCTGTTTTGGAGGCGGAGCTTCATCTGTAGCGGAAGAGGACACCTTTGAAGGCTATGCATCCATCGACTTTAGCTTCTCCCTATTACCTGGTGAGTAGTCGTCAATTGCAATTCGTTGATTCTTAAAACAATTCTTCTAGCGAGTGTGTCTTCCTTTAGATAAGGGTGTATCAAGTTTTGGATGAGAAAAGTTTGGACGTTCCCGACCTTCATAGGCTATTGAACGTTAGATACGTCGGAGCACACGCGTCTGGCTGGCAGGCAAGTTCCAAGGTTATGAAATTTTTAGAAGCTACTATCCTCCAGGTGTACTAAGCGGCTGATACTTTTTTATCAGATATTTAACGTGAAGCAAGCTGTTCTCGGCTGGTTGAACGGCGAACCGAATCTTGGACTCCTGGTAACTGCTTCTACCTTGTTCGAGGATCAAGTGACCGTAGAATTTTCTCGGCGAAACGAGTATCATCACAGTAAACAACCGATATTAGTATTATTCGACGACGACGGGAAAAGACATCGGGGCGACAGCAATAACGAGATCGAGGGGATGTCCTATGACGACGAACTCGAGAAGAACGACTTGAAGAACGAGTATAGTGATAAAGATGCCGAGAAGCACGATCGTGGAAAAGGTCAACCGGAAGAGGCCCAATGGGAAAGCGATAACAAGTCTCAATATTTTCAAAGACAGAAGAGGACGAAGATAGGAGAAGTCGATGATGTGACTCAGACTGCACGAAAGGCGCAAGATCTCGAGGAAGGAACTTCGAAACGACGTCGAAGGGAAACAATCGCTACTTCATCGGGAAGATTACAGAGAGACGTTCGTTCGAACGGTACACCATTCGCAGATAGTTTGACGTCGATGGATATATATGAACGTGCAATGCGCCGTGAAAGAATGGCAGAAACAATTCGTCAAAGGTCGATGTTGCAACCGAGTAAAAAGTTCCGTGGAAAACGGTCAACGAAAAGCCACGCATCTGTCCGACAGAATGTCACCGAATGTTCGAGGCACGAGCTCTACGTTGACTTTAAAGAAATCGGTCTTTCCTCCTCTATCATTGCTCCACTCGGTTATTCCGCTTATCATTGCAAAGGTATCTGCGAAACACCATTGAGTCAAGATCAACAACCAACGAATCACGCGACTATCCAGGGAATCGTGCACAAAATGGGTCTCGTAAAAGGGGTCGAGAGACCTTGCTGCGTACCCACGAAACTGTTGGGAACGACCATTCTGTTCTTCGACGACAACGAGAACGTTGTTCTGAAAGTTTACCAGGACATGATCGCAGATCGTTGCGGATGTCGCTAAGGATCTTACCGATTTAGAGCCCGCGAGGTGAGATGCTCGTTTCTCCTGTGAAGGAAGAAGCGAACGAAGTGTGGAAGTATGTCTCAATGGTCTTGAAAAGGGGGAGAATGCATGGATATGTGTGCAAGAGAAAAGAAAGGGAAAGTGGGAGCACGCGAGAGTGAGAAAGAGAGAAAGAGATAGAGCGAGTGTAAGAGTGGCAGAATATATGCATCAGGTAAAAATGATTTTTACGCACTAGCACGAGAGTCATTCCTAGAGATTCGTCTGAAGATCGTCGTTTAGTTGACATCCCAATATTGTACATAAGAACATTCCTAAATTCGCGTAGGGTCATGCGTATTAATGATTAGCACGTGTCTATATCGTATCCTGTATCGTCATTAAATTATTATTATAATCACACGTAGGGAGTTAATCGTCTCGATCATTGTATATACTACTGTATCGTAAAACGTTAGAGTTATTTATATTTTAATTATGACAAATAAAACGAGTATTTAAGCTACCGGGACGCCATGCTACAATTGGCATATAACATGCTCCTTCTCGCCTTCCCTGTCACGGCTGAACGAAATTCGCGTTACGAAGCCGTAGGTTCTATATTTGGAAAGGTGGTATCGCTCCCATCGCGATACATTTGATATTACTTATTTCAATAATCCGCGTGTCACCCCCTCCGGATGAACGAAGCCGGTCGAAGGAACGGGCGAACGAATCAAGTCACGGCTCGAACATAGCGAAGCGATTTTCTTGGAAGAGAAGACAATTTCGTTGGCTGAGCAGCGAAATCGAGGCGTAAATTTTACGTGCGAGCCAATAAAATAAATGTGACGGTAACAGTGCTCGAAACGATGACTTTGGCGCCACTGGATGCAGAAAAGCAGTCGTGGAATGTCAGCGCTACCGGTGTTAAATGCCACCCTTTTTACCCTTTTTGCAATCCGGCACCGGTGGCGCTCGACGATCTACGAGTAAATAAACGAAACTGAATCGAAATCGTGCGCCGGCCCCCATCGAGAGATCCGGGGCTAATGGTGGCACCCGTACTGGTGCTCCGAATTTCTGTGGCCGATACTTTCACGGTGAAACACCTTCACCCTTTCTCTTTTCATTCGTAATCACGCGATGACGTTCGCGGTTCTCGTTTTATTCCATTACCGGAATACGCAGCGTGGCCAGCAACGTAAACAGATTAGTTTAATGACCCCACTGGAATCCGTGATGCAGCCGATTCATTGCAATGAACCGATTCAGAATTTAACGCGTATCACGGTGTGTTCTAGGCCAACTGAGATCCACGTGGAACTCAGCGTGAAACGGCGAAGAATCAGACGAAATTACCAACGATTAGACGACCTCGATTGACCGTCTCCAACGCTGGGATCTGGCTTCCTGTTTTCCTGTTAGCTCCCTTTCGAATCGTTGCACGCGCATAAATTCCTACCCACGCCTCCCACAGAGTCGGCCAATTTGTCCGAGGAATAATTTTAGGCTTTTCATTTAGCTTCTTCCTAACTGCCCTCGGCTCCACCGTTCGTACTCGTGAATCTTAACACGCGGCGGACTGTCACGATGAAGATGGAGAAACTGAGAACGAGAAAGAGAGAGAGAGAGAGAGAGAGAGAGAGATTGAAACGAAAATACAGGAACGGTATATAAATAAGGCGATCGACGATGAAAGGGAACAGCATTGCGCTTTCGATGCGGGGATTTGCATATTTCCGAACGACCAATGGTTCGCGTGCCATCGTACTGCATTCCGTGTGCGTGCATCTCCAGTTATATTTAATCCACGGTGGGTGTATTTTCGAATCTGCCCGCCTAAAAATAGCCGAAACGCGTTCCATTGCATTCCAACGCTGTATTTAGATCCTTGATATCGTAATACGTGTCATCCCTGCTCGCGATAGCCGAGCAGGAACATACCCGTTTATTTTCTCTTCCTTTACACGATTCCTGGCCTATCGGAGGAGAAGGTCTGGAAGGTCTATCCGGCTCGCTGAATAGGAACTGCGACGCCTCGAAAATTCCACGTGCTCCGAAGCTTGCCACTAATCTCCAGTATATAGCGACAGGGTAGCCGAATGAGATGCAGCGGTCGCAAGGCCTCGCGGAAACGAGGGGTTAAAGAATGAAAGGGTTAAAGATGCCGGGTGGTTGGAAGGATATCGAGCCAGAGGAAAGAGAAAAGGCGGGAGGCTGCTGCCAAAGTAAAAAGTCTAAGCCGTGAACTGTACGACGGCCTGTACAATGACGTAGTGTTCTGTCATCCGGCGCGCTACCTCTCCAACCTCTCCACTACCGCTGCTTGGCCATTATAGTGGGACAGAACTTCACGAGTTCACAACTATACATATAGTGGTAGGCCTTTGAACGGTGCGCGCCTCGTGCCTTGCGTATTGCCGTGTTCCTTCCTTTCCGTCATCCGTTGTCCTTTCTCTGTCTTTCTTCTTCCCCACATCCGCTCCGATCTTTCACCGACCCGTAGTCCTCAGCAGCGCGACGCGTCCCTGACGAGCGACCCTGAAAATCGCTACGAATGAAACCGGAACGTTCGTAAACAATAGGGCCGACGACATCGGGCAACGTCCTCGCGTCGTTCGATCGCGAATCGTTCGAGAAACGAGTAGAAACCTCGAGGAGAATACCGGAGGGATGAAACGTCGAACGTGTTTACCGATTTCGTGGAAACCTGCGACAGCAATGTCGAATACGCGTTAGGTAAACCGGTATCGCGAAGTCGCGCAATTAAACGCTCAGCGAGAAGACATTATGCGGAATCGCCGATGACAAACATGACAGTCTCGGCCTTTGTTTACTGGATCCTCGGTCTACAATTGATTTTAATCCTTTCGATCGTGCACACGGGAGATCGTCAAGTAAGTAACTACTATCGCTACATTAATCGTCATACGTTTCTGTTTGTCATACGAGCATTCGTTCCGACTGTATTTTTACAAGATAAATGCTTGTTTCGAATTAACGTGTCTTTCGTATATCTATTGGCTGCTGCGCCATTGAATGGGAAACGATCTCGCAACGCATGCTTCCAAGAAGTAGAAACGTTCTGTGCCCCACGAATCAGCCAGCGTATTTCGTTTTACTCCGTTCCATTCCAACGTGTATTACCGCGTCCCTTTTCCTTTTCCTTCTGATCCCGTGCCGACTACCGTTGATCTCTTGTCATGAATGATGATCCCACTGCCTCGAATCTGCTCCGTTTGAATCATCGGATTGACCACTTAGTCGATCGCCTTTCTCCACGAATAATCAACATACTTGCTTCTTTCGCTCGACAGATCAGTGGCCATGGAATTATCGAAAAGTTGACACCGATCGTGTACCAAAAATCATCTCAGAAGCCGTTTCATCCGACTTGGATGGCCAATCAGTTAATTAGGAATAAACGAAACGGGCAAATCGAAGATGAGACGATTCTCAGGAGACACGCGAGACATCGGAAGCGACACCGTTGCAAAAACCGATCGACGTGTTTTCGAAATACGTATGTAACTAGACTGTCCCTTCTGAGGGACGACACGATGCCAGTGGATGAAACTTCTAAAGAAACGAAGGATGATCACGACGAGAACGCCGTTCTGGAGACAACGGAAGAACCGCGCGATCGATTAGGGGTGAACAAACGCGGGCAGGTGATTATCGATAATGCTCGTGCCGCGTAGATCTTCGTGCGAGTGATAAAGTGGGATGCATTTCTTTTCCCGCTACCTAGGAGTCGCACATTGAAACCGACGGAGAGAATTACATGGCCGATACGTACGCGGAGAACGGTAAAAGCGATTCGAAAAACAGCTCCGAAAATGGCGAGCTATCGGATTCGTACGATGAGAGATTCATTCCCAGCGAAATCGAATGCGATAGTACAGACCGATCTGCTCAGAAGAAAACTCGATCGAAGAAGGACGAAATTATCGAGAACACGGATTACATAGACGAAGTACGCTCTTTGGCTGTTTACTCGGCTATGGATGATCAGGTTATATTGCACGAAAGCTTAAGCGTTCTTCTGAGCAAATTGTTCCAAAGTCTACGAAATGCTTCCACATCGAACGAGCAAGACATTCTGAAGCAGCTGAACTTCGTGAACGGTACAAACGAAGATCCTTGCCAGAAGTGGTTAGACAGCAAGGATAAGCTTGAGCAAGTTTTCTCAGGTACGGATCCGATGTTGTAAACACTGTGCTTTCTGGTTTCTCGAACTCGCTGTTGCAGGTAGTCTAGCGTCGTTACCCGCTTGTCCATGCCACTATCCAAGCAATATTTTTTACGACGATAAAATTTGGGACGTAAAGCGGATGAGGTATTTCAGATGGAGGGACGTGAGCGGCGACTCTCAAAGGCTCGACGTGTATAAACCGGGAGCCACTTACTGCGTTCTTTCGTTGTTAACGCAGGGTAGCGGAAGCGCCGCTGCTCAACACTGCTGCTACGATCGCAGAAGGAAGCTCTTGACCCGTGGTTCCGGTGCTGGCACTCCAAACTTTGTCAGTCCTGAGATATCACCTGTACTGCACGAGAGAATCGACGTGTTGCCATGGAGGCTCTGCAAGGGTGACTTTTCCAGGTCTCTCAGTTGGAAGTATTTCATCTACAATTAAAACGATACTGTTATTGTTCATTCGTGTAACTGTGAATGTAATTGAAACTATAGGTACAATGGAGTAAGACCGCCAAACAATGACAACGCCTGTGAGTCCAACCCCGATGATGAGGAATACCAACGACAAATCGACGATACCAAGTATTATTAACTGCGGCGCTGTTAATCAAACATTTTTATGACACGGGATAACCTAAAAAATTCATAGCGAGACTTTATTTTTATCGTGTTACCTTTAAGCGTTTGCGGGATATTTGTGTATGATGGGATTTAAGAAATAAACGTAACCCTGTTAATTTTACTCTTTGCGATCAAGACTTGCACTTAAATCTAAGCAGAATCCTTTCAGTGTAACGTTTAAAAAGACGCGCCCTAATCGAAGGGAACATGAAACCGGTTTCGAGTGTGCCACTGACGCGTTTCCAGTCACGTTTCTCGCGCTACTTTCCGAGCGAAAGAGGGGAGAGGAGCGAATGCAAGAACGAATAAAGTCGATCCAACCGCGCGTGCCACTAGGCCTTTCAGTTGTTATGGTTACTGCACGCAAACACAGGTTCCGTTTATTTCTAAGTTAAGGTTAACAACGAAACTCAATGGACAACCATGGATTGGGCAGTGGATTTGGAAATTTCTTCGAAAAAAGTAAGTTTCTAAATATCTGTTGTCACGTATTTGACAAGTTTCCTATGATTTATCATTAATAAATATCATAAAACGAGTAAATTATAAAAGTATCGTTTATTAGCTTTTACCTCGTCTCGGTAGAAGATCGACACAAAATGTTGTACAAGAAGACTCTAAACTCGACGATGATCTTTTAGAAAGTCCTGTATCCTCGACCTCCGTTAAATCATCGCAGCCACCTGTAGCACCACCGCGTACTAGGAAAACTGGGTGGGGTGATGAGTTGAAAAGTGGAAAGTAAGTTGTTTGGCGGTGACCTCTACTTTCAACAACAACAAAAATTCTTCAATAATTTTCACTTATTCTCGTTTCATCGTAATTTCAGAACACGTGGATCCTTGAGTATCATTGAACAGTGAGTATAACCAGTAGAATCAAAGAATCAGGCATCCGTAGTCGCTGATAGACTGTTTTTTAGGGAACGTTCTCGAGGAACGGAAAAGGACGAAGTAATTGACGGTAGGAACTAGTTTAATATTCCAAATGTGAAAGATTCGAAAACAACAGAATTGTATATTATTTGTAGATATCCCTGTTATACCAGATTTGGACGAAATTCAAGAGGACAATGTTTTGTCTGACATAAATACACCAACGTATGTACAGTTTTAAATTTTCACGAAAATTCTCATTCAGTTACTTCTAGTTTGTTATCTCGTAGGGTCAACGTGAACAGGGTTACTGCGTACAAAGAACTTGATACGGATTTCGTGAAAAATGCGGCATTTACGTCTCTGAATGGCGTTAATCTTTCTCTTTTAGCGGAGAAACTATACAGTGAACACTTAACAAAGGAACCCGATGAAGTATGGAATTGGAATCTTCTTTTTACTCAAGTTGCATCTGAAATAAACAGTGAAGCACAAAAAAAACTTATTACATAAATTGTTTAGCTATAATTTTTGATTATAAAAATAAAACTGATAAATATACAAAATATTGTCCCGATTTTACTAACTCCGCATCATTTTTATATTTATATTATATGAAATTTGCAAAATAAAAGTGAAAAAAACATGGCATGCTGCTTATCTGCAGCGCCTGTATATGGAAGCGATAAATTATTAACCTCGTCTGACCTATTCGATTGCCCCCCAATTTGGAAATCGCGGTAGTTCGAGGAGCGACGTGAAGACTCAACCGTGCAGGCGTGCAAATCCGAGATGAATCAAACCACGAACTTGCACGCGCAATCGGGAGTCGAACACAAGCTACTTGAAAGCGACCACGTGACAACACCCACTGAGCAGATCTGCCATATTTCTAACGTTTAGCGATCAATGTTCAGCTGTGCCATCACTAGCACACACTTCCGTCATTATTTGTTTGATTCTTCTATATATAGGGAATTAGTGCTATTGGACCACTTGCGGGAAAATACACAATGCGTTATTTTTTATTATATTTTAAACTAGTATTATCTATATTTGAAATTAATAGTATATTAAGTAATAATACTTCAAAGTAGATTAATTACATTATTAAATCATTTTTAAAGGAATTATTACATTTTAATATAATGCGATATTTCGGTACTTGAGCTAAAAGCCATCTAGGGGTGAAATTTGAACTAACATGCGTATTCTCAATCGAGAATCGATATGTCGTATCACAATCGATATATCAATTTTGATATATCATTTTTATCAAGTCGATATATTGTTTGTACACAATCAATGTACTGGATTTGTAACCCAGGGTCAGTTAATTTCCAACATGCCCTTTGCCATAGGCGTTGTACATGTTATGCGTCACATAGCAAGCTGACGATGCATAGTGGCATGATGCGAATCATACAACAGGCAATATTGGATATGTGACATGCAACAAGTTGCATAGTATTGCATGGAAACTCGCCTTAATTTCAACCGTAGCTAGCAAATGTGACATTTAGCATCACATATTACATGTTATATTCTTTGTTTCCTTTCTTTTCAAATTGGTTGATCGTTATTAATTAGGACGTAGCTTTGCAATGGGCACAGTATACTCATCGACAAAAGAAAACAAATATCCAAATGTAGATTGTATACCGTGTATAAAACCACAAGATAAAGCACCGGGAAATCCAGGAAGTTTTGAAGAGATACACAAAAATGTTAAAAATCTTTATCCGCAAAATTTTGATGGTGCACGGCTTGTCATTAACAAAGTTCTTAGTAAACATTTTAGCGTAACACATACGATTACTCTCAGTTCAGTTACACCATCTGGATATAAATTTGGTACAATGTATGTTGGTAAAAAAGTAGTCAATTTAAATGAAAGATATCCCGTAGCCGTGGGAGAGATCACACCACGTGGAAACTTGACAGCCTCTTTTGTGCATACGTTCGGATGTAGATTTAGGTACAAATTATCGGCACAAATTGCCAATGGAAAATGTAAAGCATCAAGTTCCAGCATCGAATATCGGTCAAATGATTTTACCGTTGCAATGACTCTAGCAAATTTAAAAAGTTGGAAGAATCAAGGAACAGTAGTTGTACATTTTTTACAATCGATCACATCGAGGATCGCGTTAGGAGCCGAAATTGCATGTCTTCGTGGCCCGAGAGTTCCAGGCAATCAACAGACGATAATGTGTCTAGCATTTAGGCACAGTACAGGACTCACAACATTATCTGGAACAATAGGTGAAGCGGGTCTTCATCTTTGTTATTATCGTAAAGCTAGCTCGCAATTAGAACTCGGTGTTGAATTAGAAACAAATACAAGAACTCATCAATCAATTGCTACTATAGTTTATCAAGTAAACGAACCGTCCGCGGATCTTATTTTTCGAGGTATTGTGAATTCTGAGACTACAGTCGGTGGCGTATTCGAAAAAAGGCTATACCCAATCCCAGAATCCTCGCTGATTATTAGCGTACTTTTAAACCATAAAGAACAACATTTTCGCGTGGGCGTTTGCCTTAATATCGGACAATGATAATTAACGTGATTTATTGCGCGTAACTATCATTGTCTATTTTTCTTATATTATTTAGAAGAATGGTAGGAATCAATTCGACAATGCAGAAATTAACGTAAGACGATTGTAATTATTCCTTTCAAAATCTTACAGAGTGGAAAACTTTTGTAAATGTTACAATCTCCGTCCTGTAATAATGTGTGTCAACAGTATTATGTGTTTTAAAGAATTATTATACTTATATATGTATTATAAAATATTTGAAAACTTTGAAGCATATTATTTGATATATTGACATACACTGAATCTTAATAAAAGAACTGAAATTTTTTATCTAATTTACTGAAACTAAATGCAACTGTCCAACACCCTAATACTGTCACTTTTATTATTAAAAATTTTATTTAACAGTTAATATCTATTAATTGAATATTATTCTAATCATCTCCGTTTGCTATCCTTTCGTCCAAATCATCGTATTCGTGAAAAGCAGTCGTCTTTAATTTGTCGAAGTTCACTAAAAATTTTATTTAACAGCTAATATCTATTAATTGAATATTATTCTAATCATCTCCATTTGCTATCCTTTCGTCCAAATCATCGTATTCGTGAAAAGCAGTCGTCTTTAATTTGTCGAAGTTCACTTCAAATTTTTCACTAAGAAGTCCATTTTCATCGGCGTATTTTAAAATATCACAGATCAACGGAGATTCCACACCTAAAACGTATTCGCATGTTTTTGGTTCGAGTAAAAATAAAGAAACACTCGATGGGCTAGCCGCGTGACTTTCAATACATTTTAGTTTCACCTGGAAAATACCAAAATTTCAATTGAAATAATTGTATAAGTTCTCTCATATATAAATAAATTAAATTATAAAATTTTGTTGTATATAATACCTCCGTTTGTCTTGGATTGCCAGTCTTATCGCAAATAGTACCATCGCTATAAAAATGAGAAAGTTGTTTTCGTAATTCTGGTGACTTTGGTTTTTTATGTGGATGTGCAGTGATCCACTCCAAATGTTTTTGTTTATCAAATTTACCAAGATTTACTATAGTTTTTTTACCATCACGTTCTATGTGATACTGATCTACAGAACGACCATAACAAAATTCGTACTTCCACCATCCATTGCCCTGTTTACATGAATAATACATTATTAACTAAAATATAATTAGAAAATACGATTGGAAGTACAATACTTACCCCGTGCAAACAATTCTTTCCGCTTAAAAAATTTTTTACGGGGGTTACTTCCGCTGGACTAATATCTTGTTCTGTTAATGAATTTATAGAATCTTCATTATTAGATTTATCAATGACACCAACGGGATGTATTTCAACTCTAACACGTGCTTCACCATCCTGAAATAAGTATATATGGATTAAATTTTCAATTAAAGTGCATAGAAAATGAACATTCTCACGAAGATTGCTACCAATGTTAATATCAATTATATACATTTGTTAGAAACACAAGTGCGCTACACATTATTCCTGCTTTCAATTTACGATATTAATAGACAAGACCGATTGTATATACCGCTAAATTTTGATTTTGTAATATTGTCATATTATAATATTTTACATTTACTCTAATCATTTACTATTTTATAATGTACTGTTATTGATTCTTACTTTAAGCACTATGTAAAGCAAAAATGATAAATACTACACATTTAGCTGTAAAAAAGTGAAACAATGGATATTACAATGCTAAAGATATAATGGTGCATAAATACCATTCACAAAGTTATTGTAACATTATATTGGAAAACATAGATTCAAAGGAAATAATTATATGTAGAAAAGGAAGGGACAGAATGATATACGAATTAATGGCGACAAATGGCAAGAACCACCAAGCACTTTGGCCTGATCCCAAAAATATGAAATATTCTGACCTGGCCCTCCTTATCTACATAGAAGATTGCATAGACATCCTGCAGCTTGTCATCCTGTGCAACAAATAATTAATTCAATCTATAGAAATAATCTAAACAACAAAATGAAAATTGTTTAACACTAAAAATAACTATTTAGCTTAAGAATACAAGCCAGAATTACTTTAACAATCTTGAAATTTAATAAAATTAAAGTATTTTAGTTAGTACAATAAAGAACGAATATTGATCAAAGCAATTTTCTACTATGAATGGAATATAATATTCTATACTAACAGAGTGCATAGCACAATAACGAAGCATAAATATGACCTATTCTTATTTAAAAATATCTTGCACGTGTTTTATAAATCAATAACAAATCAATAACAAAAACTATCACTACTATACACAGAAAATATATAAGTAAACATATTTTATTTTAAATAACAATATTATATACATACAGCACAAGCATAGTCAGAAATAAATAATGGAATGTAAAGAACGCAAAGAATATGGCTTTACCGTTACTGTTTGATATCGAAGTTTCAAACTTTCTACTTCCATTGCAATAAGAGATCTAGGTTTCATTGGCGAAGGACCAACTGGATAACAATTAATTTCATTCTCTCCTGTAGCTTGAGGCTTGTAGTCAGGGTGACTACATAACCAAGAAGAAAGGACAATAACTTCATATTCGCAGCTAGAAGATTCTTCTAATGAAAACAGCTCATGTTTACCATGCTGATAACAAACATATAAAACTTTTATCTTTCGTGGCTTATTAGTTAGATCACAAATTGACCCATCACCCATTTCAATTTCAACATATGGCATATTGATTCCATTAACTTTTTTAACTGGTATTTTTGCTTTTCTATTAGGATTGGCTTCTCTCTCCATATAGTCAGCCAAAAGCTTGAATTCTTGCATTTTATCAAAAGTACCTAAATAATACACTTGTGTTTTAACTTTTTTTCCATCTCTATCTTCATGATATTGACGTACATATCGTCCATGGCACAATTCATACGACCAATATGATTCAACCTGTGAGATATACATATTACTTTTATATAATGCTACATTTTTTTATATAATTTTTATACAATATATTGATTATGTTTACAATACATACCCTATAAGAACAAGTATTTTGTTCAAATAGTGGTAGCAAAATTTCTATTGGATTTAATCCATTATATGGTTCATTAAATTGTTGTTCTTGTTCTGTATTATCAACAATTAAACATCGATATCGTTCCTTATTTGCAGTTGTTATAATATAAGGTTCTATATTTGTTCTAGATTCCTATTAGAAATACATAAGTATAATATATTAATAATTTTAATTTTACTTCATTAATACTTACTAATAAATCCGAATTAGCTTTGCCTGGCCAATTAATTTTAAAGAGGATGCTATCGTCGAAACTTCTGAAATCATGTCCATATACAACAGTAACTATGATACACAATACATAGTAAACACCACAGTATTTCCACATTTTTATAAAATTGCAATTATTTCACCATATCTTTAGTCAAGGTATACGTATATCTGCGAACTTATGACGACACCAATCTGCATTAGGTCATTTACGTTTCGTGTTACTGTTTCATGACTAAAAAATATTTATCCACATACATTACACGGAAATCACTATACCATGTACGTATATTTTATCCAAAATAATTTAAATTTGATTCTGTATGTTGTACAAAACGTTTCAATGTTCCAATTGAAATGACATTCTTGTGAAGTTGACACTACACTCATGAAATATCCAGTTCTTTGACTAACCCCAATTATGTCCAAATACCAGTAATTTTATACCACGTGAACACTATACGTGGTCATTTTTTATATAATGTTATTCAGTTTTCCAAGATACAATTACTATAATAAATATAATGAAAGAAAATACTTAAAAATATAAACATTTAATTATTCATAACGGTCTTTTTATTTTAAGTGCTAATTGTTTCATAAATTTATAACAAGATAATTTTGTTTTTGAACTTAAAATTCAGGGAGACAACAGCTGTACACGCCTAACTGAAAAAGATCGAGTGCACAAATAACGGATTAAAAAGTTGCAGGTGGCGTGTATAACGCATAAAAATTCGAAATCTCGCGGCAATCAATTATATCATATTTCATAGACGCTATCTATAAATTAAATAATTTTCTCTTAAATAAATTAGCCAATTTACAATAAGCTAGTACCATTCAAGTGGATCTAGTAAAATACTCTTTATTTAAATTATCATCAGTTTAGTGGAGTCCAGGAGAAGGGATCTCCTGTTCGAAAGTTTATAGAACCGCCATTGCTACCGAGTAATCTGACAGCGATTCGACTAAATCGTTTCTACTATTAAAATTTCGTGAGTCTGGTGTGCCTTCTTAATATTGATACGTTTAGTCTATGATTCGTGACCGAGAATCGAGATCGGAAACTGCTCGGAGTAGAAACAGGCATCAACTAGTTCGACCTTAAAAGTCATTTGGCGTTGACGATTTATTCACATTTTGTAGGCAAAAATCTGTGATAATTCGGTTACGTGTACTTCCAGCTGAAATAACATGTCGGATACGAGACGACGACGAAAATCTAATCAGTCTTGTGGTTCAGATGACCTCTCGGACTCTTGTGAAGAATTAAACGCAACGAAAGAAACCCAGGTTAGCTACTATAAAGGTGTTTTCGATTAGGTATTTTAAAGATTTGAAAGAAATAGTTTTGCCTTCTTCTTGCGATTTCTATACCCTTGCTGTTTATCAATATTTTGCTTCGCACTGAACTGGATCTAAAGTTCGGCGGAAGGCCTGATTAAGTGGATTAAGCAGACTGCTGTAATACTTATAAGTATTATTCTAACTAGGGAGACTTTCCTTTCTGTTCGATTTACCGGCAAGTGGTTTTGTGAATCGCAATTTGTGAGTCATAATTTCGATGTGTATAAAATTCAAGTAAAATTATTTTATACATTAAACCCACATAAAATGTACTTTTGGAATATCTAAACAAATTTAAGTAACAATTTTTTTTAACTTGAAATGTTACCTAATTTCTAAACCAATTTTTGTTTCTTTGTATGTTCTTTCTAAATTTTTTCTATAGAGCAGCGAACAAACTGATGGTCATCAGGATTCAGAATGTGATATTTATCCTTCTGATTCTGATGCTGAATCACAAGATGGTGCATTACGGGAAAGCGGTGATGGCCAAGAAGAGGAGAAACCACAGAAGAAGTTGGATGATGATGAAGATAGACGTAATCCACAATATATTCCTAAGAGAGGAACATTTTATGAGCATGATGATAGAACTACTGATGAAGTAACAGATAGTGCTGCTGAGTCACAAAATGAGAGAGAAACCAAAGAAAAGAAAGTGTGGAAAGATAAAGAAGATAAGTGGGATCATGACCGATATAATGATGAGGAACAGGCACCAAAGAGCCATGAAGAATTAATAGCTGTTTATGGTTATGATATAAGAAATGAAGAGGGTCCACCCAGAGCTAGAAGAAGAAGAAGATATGGGTAGATACATTTTCAGAACTATGATAGTATTTGTAACATTTTGTTTCATGTCATTTATATTTTTTAGTCGTGGTCCTAATAAGTATACACGTAATTGGGAAGATGAAGATGCATATGGAAAACCTGGAAGTAATGTATCGAGTAGAAATAGAAGGTTTAATAGAAGTGGTGAAGATTTTCCTGCTTTAGGAACAAATAAAAATGCTTCCACACATGTAGAAGAACCAGTAATCTCATCAGCTTGGTATAGTAGTAAAAATAAATCACAGAGTAAAGTACAAAATTTTCCACCTCTACAAGCTCAGAGTGATAGCCCAAAAACAAAATCTAACAATACATCTAATACTCATACGTATGTAATATTTTTTAAAGTATTTGATTCTTTTATTTACATGTATTAAACAAAACTTATTTTAATCTTTTGACTTATGATAGGAATGAAAATAAAGCTCCTAATGAGCCAACAAATCCAGCGTGGAAAAAGGATACTAGACATTCACCTCATACACAGAGTAGTAATGGAAATAGTGGTGCTGGTGGTGATGCAGATAAATTAGTTAATACAAAAACATCTCCAAGAGATAACAACAAGAGGAACATTCAAGAGTCTGTAAGCTTGGCAGCGAGTAGAACTCGTGGACGTGGATTCAGAACAAACGCTAATAACAATATGGTCACTAATAGAACGGTTGAGACCAAACCAAAGGGACGTGGTGCAGGACCAATTACTGCTGAGAACAGAAGAAATAATACTACACAAAATGATGATGAACAACAAATTACTCATGATATGAAACATGTTAACATTAATGATGGCACTCAATATCATCAGAGTGCAAGACATAACAGTAAGTGTTTGATACATGTAGCAATATCATGAGTATATGCTACTTCATTCCTTAATGTGTTTTAGAAAACTTCTATGGACAATCTTCAGTGCAACAGAGGTCAGGGACAGTACCTCCAAGAATGCAACAACAATCTCATTCACAACAGCAACAGCAATCACAACAGCAGCAACAACAGTCTATTCAGCAACAGCAAGATGGTTCTGCTAATAGGCCAAAGCGTTATTCCAGTTTACGGCAGCGACCGACTATTTCGGATAATCCAGGTCAACAAACTTATCCACCACAACATGGGCAACATGGGCAACACAGTCAACACAATCAACACAATCAACACAATCAACATAATCAGCACAACCAACATAGTCAACACGGTCAGCATGGATATTTCCCTCCTCAAGGTAATAAAATATGTACATTCAGAGATGTTGTTATTTAAACAATGTATTTATGGGAAAATAATGCTTTAAGTGTACCGTATTAATCTTTGTCTTGTATATATATTTATTTAGCTGGAAATTCAAGAGGTGTTTTAGATTCACAAGGTAAGATAACGTGGGTTATTTAAATATGTGCATAATTTTTCATTTATTTCTATCTTTTATTAAGTAGACAGTTATTTATGTATATATATATATATAATACTTGTGTTTTATTTCTATTTCTGTTTTCATTATTTTATGACTTATATAAACATGTGTTTATGTGTATGCTCATATAATATTATACATATATTTATAGGGTATCCGCAAGGTCATTTTGAACAATCCACACCTGTTGCCACTGCAGCAGCACCTATGGCTGGGCAACCTGTGATCCCTATACCACCTAATGGTCAACCTGCAAGCTATGCTCCACCACCATTTTTAGTACCTCCACCACAGTTTATTTCCCCACAGGCTGCACCTCCTAGTATAATTAATTATGTTCCTGGTCCGAATGGACCAGCATTTCAACCAAACTTCCAAGGTTATCAAGGGTATAGTCCACCAGTGCAGGTACATTTTATTTTTCATTAAAGGTTTTTCCATCAAAGAAATTATATGAAATTGTTTTATGTTCTTTACTTATTATAGCCACAGCGTCCTCCACCACCACAAGAATTGTTTCAACCACAAGGTTGTACTTATTATAGTCCAGCACAACAACAACAACAACAACAACAATCGGCTCCACTGAGACGACCGAAGGCAGCTATTCCAATACTTCCACCACCGGAAAATCAACATCAGACCGGTCGAGGAAGAGGTAGAAATACACAACAGCAACAAACTAATCAACCCGGAAATACTCAACAGACTGAACAAGAAGTTAAAATTGATTCGGTTGAAGGTGATCAAAAGATTGTGCCCGAACAGTTTGATAACTCGCAAGTCGAAGACGTTTCAGAAGTTCAAGAAACACAAAAAGTTGAAGATTTAAGTGCAATAACAGATACTGTGGTTGAGAATACCGAGAAAGATATTAAAAATCTTGATAAAGATGCACCTGTGAATTTAGAAGATACAACTACAGATCAGATACAGTTAGATGATATAAGTGCTAATGATTTATCGAAGGTTACTATCAATGAACAAGATATTATTCCGCTTAAATCTCCGCAAGCAGTCATTGAAGAGACTGAAAATGATTCAAACATAATTGAAAGCACCACGACTGAAAGTACAGCTGTTGAAGAAGCAGCAGCTTGAAAAAATATCGCAGAGCGTGTAACGTTTTTCGCGAAAGACGTAATTGTGACACTTCGTGAGTATGAGTATGCATATATCATAAAAATGCTGTGTAATTTTATTGAAATTACTATACGGTTTGTATAGTAAAATGATATTCATGAATTATTTGTGAAATACTGTAGGAATTGGATGTGTGCGTGTCTAAAACATATTTTGAATGACTATCTAATTCCAGCATATTGTATATTTCGTAGTTCACATTTGTATTAATGTTTCGCTACGAATTCCATCGATCTGCTGCTATCATTAAACATCATCCTTCTATATAATTAAATTTCTTTCATATACGAGATCTACTAATAATTAATTATTAGTAGTGATGTCTAGTGTTAAACATATTATTGTGTATTGAGTATTAACGCATGCAGCATCGACTGGTAAAATGATTAATAAATCGATATATCTTTTTAATACAACAGCTATTGTAAATAGAATATAGTCAGGTCAGTAACCTCGAGATGTATTATGTCTTTTGTGTACGAACAAGTTTGTACCGAGATTCATTAAGTAAACAGTGGATGAATGAAGTACATTTATTAGATAAAGAACAACTACTTAATGCTTTAATTTTACTTATATTAGGACAGTAAAAAGAAATCTTTGATCTGCATGTGTCGTGAAGAAATGATTGTTACATAATTTAGTATATCTTAAAGTCTAGTTAAGACAAAATTGATACTTACTATTAAACTTGTCATTGATGAATTCTAACAGATTTTTCGTAATAAATACGAAAGATCGAAATCGCGATAATTCTCTCTTTTTTTTTTAAATACGCTTATGATATGCTTTGTTACTGGCAAGGTGGAATGGAAAGATAATATATTGATAAGAAGTTTTTTCCATACATGACTAAATTTATTTTCCTCTTTTTGACTTGTTAAATTTTACATTAGCTTTAAAAGTTCAGACGTATTAATTAATGTTAATTCGTATAAAATTTTCGTTATATGGTTCTCGTACGCGGCAAAGATGTAATTTTAGTGAATTAAAACTAAATTTAAATGTTTCGTCAATATTACACGAAGTAGCAGTGTACAGAATATGAAATTTGCATTATATATTTATAACAGCGATAGTATATATATATATATATATATATATTATTAAACTTTTTACATACAATTTTGTCGCCGGCGTATCATTTGGAGATTATATATATAATTATTTTAAATGCAATCATTCTTTTGCACAGAATGATTTAAAATTCGTGAGTGCCTATGTTGTAGTTCAGATTTTGCGAGAATAAACATCGAACTTTTCCCCGATAGTTCTTAATATTGTAAGTACATTTTACATAGCTCAATATTTCGTTACATTAAACGATTCCAGTTTTCAATGGAAGTTACTGTCTATTAATTTTTATAAATTTTAGAGCTAAATGTAATTGCATTTCACAATTATTTTTTTGTTATTTAAAATAGTATCGAGTGAAACATAGCGTTCTTATTGTATTTATCTAATATTCCATATCTTAATATTAAAGTTCAAATTATATGTAAATAAATTTTTTTTGGACTTTACTGCGCGTTTAATAGCTATAATCATTTCGCATTTACATACGTTTACGATCAGTCGTGTTTCTCATTTTGTTGAATGCTGGTTATCGCACTGAGAGGTATAATTTCGGTATTTCGTTGAGGATTATTATTATTCTTGACAGTTGTTCGTATCGTAGTAGTCCGTGATTTAACTCGAGGAAGATTAGACGTGCTTGCAAGATATCCGCGTTGTATACGAGAATTATCCTCTTGAGTACACCGAAATGTACGTCTAAACTCCTTCCGAAATTTTCCTGTAATAAAAGTCTTTGATTAATCATGGAATAGTTTGTGTAAACACCTCACAGATATATGATACCAACAATATAATTCATGCTGTTTTAGCTTGCATTACTTTTGAAAAGTGAATTGTTGCAACACTCGATTGAAGTACAACGCTATAGTTAATATTGGCACCACTGGTGTCGCCCGAATTCAATTTTCATCGAGGTTAACGAAAAGGGCAAGCTATATAATATTTCGTTATCGACCATTCTTGCCGTCTCCTAATTTTTTATTTACAGTCATAGAAACTTCAAGAATTAGAATAACAGAACATTAAAACAGAGTGAAATAGTGCAACAAAACGTCCTCTATCATAATCGCATCTGAATTAATTATCGATCGATATCGATTAGTCGATTGATCGTTCGTTTGAAATGAAAGCTTCTTTTCTCGAAATCGGAACGTCTACTTTGTGGCTATGCGAAAGTAAAACGGCTAAACTAAACTGAAAAGTATAATAAATATTATGGAAATCAATTCAAGTGGCCAATAACTGTGGAATATAATACAGCTCACCCTAAACATAATTGAGACTGTGGAGGGTAAAATCCAAGACTACATCGATCCTGGGTAGACTCGTTTTCGGCCTGAGTTCCTTCCACGATAATATTAGGGGCTTTTTTCACCCAAGAGACTCGCATTTCCGCATGTCAGAATTGTTCACGACGATTTTGTGGTGCAGACCGAGATTCATTTGCCATGTAAGCGTAGCTGTGTTGCTGGTTTGGCCTGCGACCGTTTGAAGGATTCGAAGGAGTGCATTCTCGGAACGTGCGACCAAACTCCTGCCGGAACTTACCTGCAAACCATACGCTGAATATCTTCTTTTGCTTTCATTGTCGCCATCATTCTTATCTCCATTATTTTTACGTAGATCAAGCGGAAACACAGGTGAGTATAATTTTTTTCCTCGTTAATTAGAAAATCGATCACGTTCGAGATCGATAGTATCGAAAAGCGAATTTACGATAAAATGAACTTTTCACAACAAATCTATAACGTAACGGTCAATCTGTTTTCAGAAGAATCGCGCAATTAAACTGCAAACCGTAAACTAGAAACAACTAGGTCGTTATCGGTTGGACAAGGAAGCACCGTCTCGTTTAATTACGAGATTCTTTAAGTAATGGAGACAAGACTACCCGGGGAAATGAATCTTAATCATCGTCACGAGAAGAGCTTCCCAATGAATTTCGAATTTCGTAATGAATCAAGAAGATATCAAGTGACGGTATTGTTAAACTTACGATTGATTTTTAAATCTTGTTGGGTGATCCATTTTGAATCTGTGCATGATTGTATGTCCAGAAGTACGTGATTAAGCTACTTCAGAAATTGATTAACCTATTGACGATGTTTCAAAATACATCAAGCTTGTTTGAAAATTGATCGAATTTATGTGATCGATAATATATAACCAATATTAAGCATAAAGGTAGCATTCTGAGTGCGATTGAAAGGATCATTTAACACTGCTTAAACGTTAAACAGAGTTATGTCAAGGCTGCTTGAGTGTTGTTGCTTTGAAAACAATTGTTTCGCATCTCACAAGACACTTGCTGGATCGCGCTCGTTTACAGGCGAGAACGGATCACCCTTTCTTTTACATAAGTAGTAGCAAAACGTCAATCCATTGTTGTTCGCGTTAGATGGAACGTGTTAAGCTCGTCGATTATTTCTCGGTAAACAAGATACGACCGAACGTTATAATGTGGGTAATACCACCGTGGCATGATTCCATAGAAAATCTCTTGACAGCGTAGATCGATGATATTTTGAGCAACAGAGGCTGTTATTCGTCAGTTATAACGCGAAAAAATAACGAAGGAAACGTAATAGTTCCATAGAGTTAATCTACGTAATTAGAACACGGTGGATGCAAAGTGTCATTTGCTTGTGGATAGCGAAAATGAGAAAATCAGAGGTGGTTTACCGCTCATGAAGTTGTAAATCAGTGGATTAACCGCGCTATTGAAATAGCATAGGCCGTGCGCGATTAAGCTGACGGCGTTTATCCACTTGTTCGATGGTAACGTGGTGGTATACCTGAAATGTTAAATGACACGTATATCGATTTGCTTTGAATAATGACAATTGCTTCCTTCCTAGCTACAACTTTCCGTAACTAGTTCTAGCATGCACGATTATCCATAACAAAGGTATTTAAGCTTTCCTATTTGTCATGCTGCATTGTATCGAACATTAAGGCATATTTACTTGTATTTTTCAGATATATCAAATATTGGAAGGTACCTTAAAACGGAGAGCAAATGAACAGGGAAATAGCAAATGGCAAAAGTGATGACCACCGTGACTAACATTTTTGCTGCTTTTCGTCGAGACCTCAGATGCACTTCCGGATTCCTGCCACCAGTTGATGCAGCACGACTCGTCTGGGATGACCTTGAAGGTACTACAAATGTTTGGAATAATTATTCATATCGTGAACCTGCCGTTTTGGTTCTGCTACGATCATAAAGTATACATTACTGATCGGACACACCTTCATGGTAGCATACACGTTTTAAAATATATCGGAAAAGGTTAAATGTCGTGTTAAACATGATATCCATGCGTTAGAACGTTGAGTATGAACGATGTCGATAAAAAGATATCGGAGATACCAAAAATCGGCGAGGAAAGCGTATAATGATCCGTTTGAGTTTGAATCACGGGTCATATCATATTGCAAGTTCCGGAACGTTTTAGTATCAGTTTGTCAGTGCATATGGGTCAGAAACAACGTATAATTTTGTTCGTAGATTAACTGGAAGTAAAAATTGATTGTTCGCTTACAGTTATGTCCTGGAATGTCGCTTCTCCAAAGGACTTTAACGATCTGCCAATATGCTACGCTCATGAAGATCAAAGGTCCGGTATAAAGGAAAATTAGTTTCATGATTGTGAAGGTGATCTGGCTCTTTTGACTCCAGGATATATCGCACTGCGTGAATAAAATGGTGTTTACTTTGATGTGCGTTGGTGGGACGGTATGCAACACCACGAGATCCGGAATATCTGCGCAAACGTTGAGTGTTGATGCATGGTTTTTCTCATAGTTTGTCAGTAACTAAAAACAACATGTCGAGTGTCTTAATTTCGGAACTAACTATTTGATGCAGGCGTACTCTAAACATCAACTATACGTTCGTTTCGTTCAATGTCTATGTAACAAAAAGGTATTATGTTGTTACACCAAATGAAATGTATACCAAATAGAAGGGCTACCGCCCAAATTCCGATGATTGCATTTTTTGCTCGTCCAGTGGTTGACTTGAACCTCAGAGGAAAACATATCGCGTACCATCGATCTATCGATATAAAAGTTAAGGTCAATATGCTCACGGTCACGGACACTGTCTGAAACAAATAAAAACTGGATATTATTTTTTTAAATAATCGTAGTATGGCGATGTAACAGTTCTAGGTGTACTAGAAACAACAGTCCAAGAACCTTGCTACTTGAAATATTATTGGTCATGATACGAAAGAAGGAAAATTACTTTCGTCGATTAGCAATTCTAATTCGTTCATTCATCAAATTTCCATAACCTCCGCCCGTCGTAGCACGTTACGTGTTGCATCAGAAATCGATTCAGGGTGGAATTAACGTATTTGACGTACCTACTACTTAACGATACCTGATATTTTGAGATACCCGTTAAGTGGATGCGAATGTAACTACATGCAGAGTTATGTAAACTTGCATCGTTTATAGGCGTATCTTACGTTTTAATTTTCCACTCGATAACGCGGTTTATTCGTTATCTGGTACAGAGACACGTCATGAATATAAAACGAACGGTTGGAATATATACGGCCAAGGACTCTGTAGAAGTTTTTCTCGCCGGAAACATGATAAAACTGTTGGCTGCGTTGCTGCACCCGCGCTTTTTTCGCTGTCAAAATATTTATTGCCTTCGTACATTTGGCTTTGACTTTTCCTTTTTTGTTTGCAGATAACTCGCGGGATTAAGAAAATGATTTACGCGGACCAACTCAACCTACATTTTTAATGCACACCGAGTCTGCTGCATCCGATGTCGGCGATGATCGAATGACAAATTAATCAAAATCAAGGTCCGATTATAATTAAATGGATAATTAAGGAAATTGCGAGCAAATTGCATTAAACATAAAACAACTGGGCTTTTTACATCTATTTTTGTGGAAGAGTATACGAAGAATTTACTCCGACAGTATGCTGTTTAAGGAACATTAGCGGTGTGACACCTTTCCATGTGTCACATACTAAAGCATTTAGGGAGACCTGATACAAGTGCTTGCTGTCGATCGATTTTCAGAATGATCGTCAAAGGGCTTGTTACGGAGTTTCTGTATGACAACAAACGCCACATGTATGCGAAATGGTCGTCTAGTTGGTCAATGGCAGGGTCTAGCTGCTAGCTAGAGACTCCTTCGATACATTCATACTCTCTACAAGGAGAGTGCAAGTCCTTCGGGTCACCGATTTAGTTGAAACCTTGCAGGTTTGTAGATATCGTCACGCAGTTTAAGAAAATATATCATATACCTTTACCATGCAATTATAAAAGTTCATAAATTAATCACAGATATTGAATAATTTATGAATTTTCCACTGCCGAATTGATTTATTGAAATGTATTAGGAGCACATAACCAGAGTTAGTAAACTATTCGATTGACATCAGAGTTATCTATGTTCTCGTTGCCGAACTCGAGCTTCGAGTCTAAAATCAGTCAGCAGTGGAAAATTCACAAATTACTCAATATCTGTGATTAATTTATGAACTTTTATAATTGCATCGTAAAGACAGATCCTTGGCGAACTTTCTAATATAATTTTGGATATAAATTTGTCTCTAATTAATTAATTATTAGTGATTATTCCACAGGGTGTTTGAATTCTTGCCGTACATACCAATAGTTCTTCATTAAGTACTATTTTCTGCGTAATCAATTTATGAACTTCATGCACGCATTATCTAAACGGGATCCTTGCCCATATTCACATATTAGTTTTGTTCACATTTTGCTTCTCATTTCATTTATTATTAAATATTTTCACGAAAGATCGTGACGGTTGTTATCTCAAAATTACGGACGCCATCAAACAATTATTAATAACTAACTAATTAGCGTTAAATTCTTTACGAAAATTATGTAAGAATATTGCTTAAAGTTCCAGCTTTCCAATGCAATTAAAAAAGTTCATAAATTAATTACAGAAATTGAATAATTTATTAACTTTTCACTATCGGAGCCCTTCTGTCCTTTTCTATCTTCCTATTACTTTTCTGAGCATATGGTCCAAAATCATAGATGGCGCTGATCAATAAATGGCGCTGATCGCAGGCGGTAAAATTTTTATTTGAACTAGATACCTCTTCTGGTTATGTGCTCCTAATACATCTTAATAAATCGATTCGACAGTAGAAAATTAATAAATTTCCAAGTTTCTGTAATTAATTCATGAACATTTATAGCTTTACAACTAAGTTGGAATTATAGGCAACATTCTTATACAATGTTTAATTTAATAATTAATACTTACATGAGCGATAGGTTTTGTATTTCCTGTATCTAATGATTATTTATATTTTCGTTTTCTTTCTGTAGCAAATAAGATTGCTATAGAAAAGTGTTTTTCTTGCATAATGTTCTTATTATTTTGTAATAAATATATATTAGCATAAGAAAGCGTAAACAATAAATTTTTGTATTAAGAAATTTCATTTACAATTGTTTATTTACAGTGTTTCCATAGGCGAAAAATGAATACAAAATAAAAAATAGATTGAAAAAAGATACCAACTATGGACAGAATCGAATCACAGAACCTCCAGCATAGGAATACTCAAATGACACCGTTAGGCCAGGACTCCGCTTAAAAAGTATTGGAAATTAATCTATAATTACAGAAGTAATAAAACTTGAATCGTGAATATCTAAAAAATTATTAAGTAGTTGCGGCTAGAATGATATATATTCTTAAACTGCTTTACGATATCTACAAAGTTTCAGCTAAATCGGAGATCCGAAGGACTTGCACGCTCTTTGTAAGACGTTTGCTTTTCCCTTGATCAGGCGTCTGTTCTGTTTCGACACGGCTATTATATTACCGCAATGCGATCGTAACTTTTCATCCCCCTTCTGTGGCAAGCGGTAATTTACGGGTTCATTTTATCGTAGCGTAACGATTGCGCGTAACACGGGTGAACTTCGCGACTTGAGATTCAAGAGATACGGGTAGGTGTTATTCGTTTTAACGTCGATACATACCTTCCTGTTTTGTTCTTTCCACGCGTAATTCTTATGTAAATGGAAAGTTGATTTCGTTTCTTTTATATCTTTCAGATTAAACGTGCGAATGGAAATTAGTCGAAGAACTAAGAATCGTTTTCTCCAAGACACCGATGCTCCAACCCCCAGGGACACTTTAATTTCGATGGAGATAGAAAAAGGTTAAAAGCAATTGAGAAAGTCCGAACAACCGTTAGCCACGAGTTGGAAACACTGCTGTGATACACTGAGATTACCAAGGCGAAATATAGCTATCTCAATGCGAGCAATTTATCATTTCTTTCCGGTGTTTCTTGGGAACAAAAGAGATGAAAACTCTTGATTCGGTTCGTAGGCACGCCGTTCGCTAGCTCGAAACATAATTTATCAACCGGCTTGCGCCTTTTTCGTTAATCCTTCTGGCTCTGATAGTTTTATATACGCTTAATCTCGTTCTGTGCTTGATATATTTATAGAGATGTCTATAATGGAAGCTTATGTTATTGGTGGTATCAGCCCCGAAATCTAAACTGTTTTCGTGGAATGCAAATTGTGCTCGACCCTGTTCACTAGAGACACGAGTAATTCCACCTTGCCCGTTTGATTTACGATTCTTCGCAGGGCAATTGAAATAGTTGTACGCAATTTCTTTTGTTCGCGAATGTCAGGAGGAGAACTCGGTGATACGTGAATGAAGATTAAAGACCGGCTTTCTTCTAGGAACACGACAAATTTACGTGGACATTTATGTGGGGTAAAAGGTCGATCGTTACTGACTGCAGTCGTAATAATTAGAGTCGGTCAAGGATCTCGATGAGGCGTATTCAAACTGTAACGCAAATCGATCTGCATTAGTAGCTAGCTGGTGCAAAGAGCAAGTAGGCTTAATACGGAGAGCAAATTGTTCCGGACGCTATCGTTGGTCGTTATTCCATCCGGCATGGTTTCCGAGCAATTAACCAAGAGGTTTGCGCCAGTCGGGATATATCCAAATTTATTCGTCGGGTCTCGGTAGCAAAATGCAAAATGTACATAAAGGTTAGCGAGGAGAATACCCGGGTAAAATTAGTTGACCTAATCGACTCGTAGAAACTCCAACGTGTCAGAAAGGGGCGGAAAGAAGGTGAGATGTTGACGGAAAGGAAACACAAACGCCGAGCGAGTAATTCCGTTTGGACCTGAGGCATAGTGGATACCTTGCTCGTCAGCTCGAACAAAACCTATTGTTTTTTCAGCCGTTGTACCTGGCGTGAAACGATTTTACGATTGTTTGCCACGCTAGGCGACGCTAGAGCACGTTTTAATTAAATCTCGGTTATCTACCGATCACACTCACAACTGCATTCAGTGCGTCAGTGCGTGCCTAACGCATTGTCGATATCACAATACCACCAGGGACTTTTTACATTTCGTTCACCGAAGCGATCTCGGAATCGCTTTTCTAATCGAGGAAACATTGTCGGTACTCCTTCATTCCTTTCGCTTGTCCGTATTATATCATTTTCGTACTACCCCATTCAAACCACGTGTAACGCTACCGAGAATGCACACTGGTGCATTTATTATACGTGACATAAATTATACGTGACGCAAATATTCATATCATGACAATTATATCTATTTTCATACTCGTTTGTGTATTTATAAAGACTCTTGACTTTGCTTCTTTCTAAACGTAAGGAAGTTAACAGAAGGGTACAATCAATGGTACGCACAGCAGGGAACCTTCACCCTAACACCCACGTCCGTTATTCTCAGCCTAATTTGCTACTCTGACTTATGCTATTAATTAGAAGAATTATAGTTTCATTGCTAGAAACCTCGAGCCAAAGCTTCGCAAGGGAAAGTATTAGGGTGTTGTTATAAAAAATTCATGTTATCGACTCGGTCACGAGAAATAGTTGTTCCCCAGTGAAATATCACCCGACTGGTATGACTCGCTACTTACGAATGGCCCCTCGGTCGTAGGAACAGCCTAGAAGGCACGCAAACTTTGTATCATTAACTCCTTCGTGTCTTTCAAACTACGAAGTCCCAAGTGACACACGGATCGAATAGCAGTACTCTATCCTATGCCTTTTCGGGGTTAAATAATCAATGATGCATCGATGCTGCTGCAACATATTTTCGCGCCACTCCCGGGGTTACTTTGCGTTGCGTTCGACAAATGCATCGAAACCCGCGGGAAATTCACCAACTGTCGTGTCAAACGACGTCTCGTTATGTTGGCAGAAGCGAAGATGTCTTCGCGACAGGCGCCTTCGTCCTATCATCTTTTAATCTAATTGCAACAACGACATGCCACGCGGCAAGGGTTGCGGCCACGATTGTCAGGCAGTCTACGCCTCACTCTATCCAACTTCCCGTCGACTTGCTAAACTTCCGGAAATATATGGTAATTTCGTCTATTCACGGAGAATTTCGACGATTTCTTAGACTGTTCGGAGAAAGCGTGTCGCGCACGATTTCAATGTAGCGTTAACACTGTCTAACAAATTTTAACTTTATTTCTAATCTGTAACATCCATTAAGTGGTTCGTACAGAGTTTGCTTTCTTGAACACAAATCCATAATCGAAATTGTCCTATCATCCTCGGATTTCGTAGAATGCGAGTTTTTCTAAAAAAAGCATGATTCTTGACTAAAATTACGTATTACATAGAAAGTAAGAAGGCTAGAAGGTTCATTGTTTGCTTATAAGTTAGGCGAGAGTATGCTGAGTTTATCAATGTCCATAATTGTAATTATTTATGCTTCTGAATAACTATAATTGGTCATCGAAGTTTAAAAATAACGCTTCGAGCATACTTTTTACGCATATTTTTGCATTTTTACAAAAAGTTCCTTATCTGAAATGAATTTGCTACACAGTGGCGTATTCTGTAGACATTTCTGAAGAAGAAACCATCCAAAAATAATATTAGGATGATCTTTAATGCTGACAGAACGGTAAAATATATATAGACAACCCGTAAGCGAGATTTTGCCGCCACGCAGCCATTATTCGTAGACTTATCAGGGCCGTAGTTATAGGTAATCGTCACCGTACTCATCGTCTAATAGGTCTCATTTTCTATATGCATGACATATATATGTTTCCATGTACTTTTTTACACCATTCGCAAAATTATAGGACATTTCTTTAAATCACTTGTAATTTGAAAAGGTTTTGTTATTCGACACATAAGTACGAATGACTTTTCAATATAAAGTTGTTAAAGAATAAAGTCCCACTCAATTTTTAAGTTGAGAATGAATCTTTTGATGCTTTTATTTTTTGTGTACTATTTCATTTTATTGTTAGCCAAAATTATAGAGGAAATAAAAATATTGTAACACACATATATGTATCATGGAAATTTATCCTATGAAAGTATGAATGTAGCTATAAGTTATAAAAAATTTATGACTTTAATAACAAATTAAATATAACAAACAAATTAATA